CCTGAAGTTCCACCATGAGAGGAAGGGAGGCCCCGCACTGCTGAGTGAAGACGCTAGGACTATGGTGAAGAGAGAAATCCTGGGGGAAACATTCTGCCTAGTAACCCAGGTGACTTGAGGGTATGAAATTCGGGAGTAAAACTGATGCTCACATACTACCAAGAAGGAAAACAGATCATGCCCCACTTGGTTGGTAGAAAGTGCAGGAACTGAGATGGGCAGAACTTTGATAGCTTTACACAGAAACCAAGCAAATTCACCTCTATGTTCCCAATGCATGACCTCACATCTGCATGGGTTCCCTGAGGTAGTTCCTCAGGAGGTCACCTGCGAGGGACCACAACCAGAATTTAACAAGAATCAGAGCTTTCCCTACAGCTGGAAAAAGTTAGAAATACAGTTACAAAAGTTGAAAACAAATTTCTCAAAGAGCAAGGAGGAGATGCTCAAAACTGGTCAACACATATCTAAATATGGGCTGAGACAAAGGGCAGGAAATCATAGTCATGAATGATACTCTGCTGCCTCCCTTCCCAGGTCAGGCTGTCCAGGTAGCGGTGAGCTCCCATGGGGTGGGAGAGGCTGTTACACAACTAAAGGCTGGTGCAGTTCACAAATTCTGTTCTTAACACACACGCTACTCTGCTCCTCTCAGCCAAGCACTTTGCAGGCCCAGAACCATGAATGTCCCAGAACTCTTCAGGAAGGACAGACTGAGCCAGTGTCTACCTATGTTCATGCAGGTAAGCAGGCAGACATATAGTGTTAGGGTTTATATCTAAATGTCCTCCTAAAGCCTCATGTGCTCACACATGGGGCTTTGGGAATGTGGCTGGATCATGGGGGTGTGTTACTCATCACTGGGTTAGTCCAATGGTAAGTTTATAGCTAAATGTGATCTGGGGAGGTAAAGCCTGGTGGGAGGAGGCAGATGGCCTGGAATGATGCGTCTCCCTCTCTCCTCCCTAGATCTCTCTGCTTCCTGTCTGCCTTGTCATGAGTAATCTTCCTGTCTTCCCCCTCTGCCATGTCCCCCCTTCCTCGGAGGCAGCTATGGATCGAAACCTCTATGAAATGTGAGCCAAAATAAACCTTCCCTTTTGTAATTTGTTGGTGCCAGGTGTTGTGTCTCAGCAGGAGAAAGTAAGACATGGCGAAAGGGGATCCATAGACTAGAACTCCTGCCCCACCCTTGCCACCCGGAACAGAGGGCTCCAAATGGGCTGAGCACGAGGAAAGTTCACTGAGAAGGTGTTAAGGGAGGGGTGTTTCAGAAAAGGCTGCTTGGAAGTGGCTCCATTATTTAGGTCATGCTTTGGCAAAAATCATGTGAGGGTGTTACTGAAACTTGGAAACACTCATAACTTATTCAAAATTTCCAATGAATTTCAGTATTTTAGAGCTTTTGGTTCAAAAATATAAAATGCTAACACATTTTGAATAGTGTACATGCCTGCCATCAGAGAAGATGGAAATTCAATAACCAGATTTTGACAAAAAACTTAGCATAATTGGTGGGTAAAGAGAAATAATGAGATTATAACTTATGGGACCAGTGGTGCTCTACCTCCACATGCTTGCTGGAGTTTGGAACCCACCTTTATTCAGCCACAACAGCATCCTAAAACAAACATCAAATTAGGTTGAACATGGAAAATGACATCTGAGTTACTAGCTCAATGTTAACATTTAAAATAATGAAGCATTCACTGTTCTCCTGAAAATATCAGATAGGGCTGTGGATGTGGCTCAGAGGTAGAGTGTTTGCCTAGCATACGAAAGGGCCTAGGTTTAATCCTCAGCATTGCAAAATGAAACCAAACAACCACTGAATAGCAACTTTAATAACTTTATCCTTAAACAGTTCATTTTTAGGTGATTTATTTTACCGCATTGAAAACTTTTTTATAATACAATTTAGTTACACAAAAAAAAAACACCAAAAATACATAGTGGTATAAAAACACTTTGCTATTAGAATTTATAACCAAAATAGGTGGGCGATTATTTAGTTTAGAGATATAAAGGCCATATGACTCTGAAGCCTGGGTTGTTCAATTCTGTGATTTTTTTTCTAGAAACATTTCAATGTGTAAGTTTTTAAATGCAAAAAAGTAACAAAGAACTGAGCATCAGAAACAAACACAGCACCCACTGCCTCCAGCTGAGTCAGATCCTGTTGCAGCATTTCTCTCCTTGGAGTCCACACACACTCAAGCCACTTGGTGGAGTCCCCAGACTTAATTCCCGGCCACTGGAGACATTTCAGGAGCGAACTCGAGTTGTGTTCCTTGGAGCACTGAATCGCCCTTGATGTCATCAGACAGGTTCCTAAGACTCACTGGAATTAAAGTTGTATGGTAGTTAATCTTGATTATCAACTTGACTGGATTGAGAAACACCTAGGAAATTGGTAAAGAGCAGTTCTGGGTGTAGCTGTGGGTATTTCTGGAGACAATGGATTATAAGGACTCTAAATTCATCAATTATGGAAGAGATCATAATTTGATGGACTACTGGGAAATGACTGTGACTCAGAAGGTGGTGCCTAGTTGCGGGGAGCCAGGAGGGTGTGCCCTGAGGGATGGTATCTGCGGTGACAGCTTTCCTTCTTCATGCCCTTCTGCCATGATGTCTATGCCTTGCAGTCAGCCAACCGAGGACACAACCTCTGAACTTGTGACCCAAAATGAAGCTCTCCTTTCAGTTGTGTAAGCAAAGTATTTGGTCTCAGTGATGAGAAGCTGACCGATACACCACTGATAGGCAGGAGGTGGGGGGTCTACTCTCGGACTGACCACTGTGAGCCTCTCTACTTCACTTAGTTCTTCTTTAGGAAGATGAGGCGGGAATTAGGGAATTGATTCTCTGGTAAGCAGTGAAATAGGTTTCCTCCAGCTTTCCAAGACGGAGATTGTTGAGCCAGCCAAATCCTTAAAGCAATTTGAAGAGAGTAGCCAGTAAGTTATTGTACCACATAGAACATTTCTGGATTTTAATTTATATAATGTTTGGTAACACAGGCAGAAGGAAGCAGATGAAAGGTGGGAGGCAATCCCAAAGGCCAGGAGAGGTCTCTGCAGCTTTCTCTAACACTGCATCCTCAGAGGCAAAATCAATCTGTGAAGCTGAGTCCATGTTACTAACGGTATATACTTAGATGGAGGCCTCCGAAAAGTGACTCATATACATACATGCTGTCATTTAAATTAAGTAGATTCCAAAGTTAACTGTGGTGCTTTATACACTGTCCACTCTATTAACCCAGAACTATTTTCCAAAGTTTCCTTTCCTGATGATTCTAAGTCAGGACTGGCTCCAAGTCTTGGGCATTGGAAGGTGAGAACACAAGAAGGCCCATCTTCTTGCAAAGGTTATCACTGTTTAACATGCTGACAGTGATGCCTGGCTAGTTCCAGCGTGTCCTTTCTCCTCTGCTTCCTGAGTGTTAGGCTAGGATGGCTCTAGGCCCACCACCAGACACTGGTTGTAAATCCACCAGACTTTTGGCAGAAACAGCTTCCCTTAGATTTCCACACATGCCCTCGCAAGCCCTGTTTGGAGGTGACTGTGCTTTGTATTTCAGACAGACTAACTGGTGAACTCTGTCGACTCCCAGAGGTTCTTCTGGACCAAAATCACTTCTCCAGCTCTCCACACAGTTGGGATTAGTCTATTTCCTGTAACAAAATCCCTGGGCACTAGGAGCGACTATGATTTACCAAGCAAACCAAACCTACAAACGCCAGATGGATATTGCTCGTATCTGCACTTCTAAGAGGAACCAAATTGAGTGTACACCAGAGTCTCATTTGTGGTCTCTGGAGTGTGCTTGTTGAGGGCTCATAACATCTTCAATGTAAGTGGTATGCATGCTATCAAACAAAAGACAAATTCTAAGTGCATGTGAGTAGGTACCTGTGTGGGGGGAATATAACATGAAACTTAAAAATTTGTCTCTGCAAATCCTCAGTGATATGTGTGGATTCTGTCTATCTTCTTTCCTAAGTCACAGGCAGAAACTATGTTTATCCTACTTCCACAGCGCTCTTGCCCAATGCGATATCTTAACAGCACTCAACACCTACAACTTGTTACAGTTTGTATCTAGATGTACCCCCAAAGCCTCATGCAGTTAGAAGGTCTTTTCAGAGATGGCTGAATCTAGAGTGTGTGATGCTGGGATTAAGGACGTGATTAGTAAACCCCTCCTCTGATTGGTGTGGCATAGTTCTGGTTGAGATTAGGGGTGTGAGTACTACATCCACCCTAGGGCAGGGAGCCTGTGTACAATATAATGGACAGAGTCTTTGTCTCTCTCTCCCTTCTTGCTTTGGCTGTACTGTGGGTACTATTCTCTTCAGTAATGACCCTCTGCCACTCTTAGAGCCAGAGGGCCCTCAGAGGCCTTTTCAGAGGTGCCTTAACCTAGATTTTGTGATACTGGGGTTAAGGGGGTGTGAGTAATAAATCACCTAGTTGTGGTTTGACCTAGTTGTGGCTGGGATTAAGAGTGTGAACACTACACCAGCTCTAGGGTGGATAGCCTGCCTACAATATAACAGAAAGTCTTGTCTTTCTCTCTCCTTCATTGCTTTTTGCTATCTTGTGGATACCATGAATTGTTCTCTGTGATAGCCTTCTGCCAAGTCATCGTGCCTTGGAGCTGGCTGATAATGGGCTAAAACTTTCCTTCCAAATAAACTTTTCCTTCCTTAGCTTTGGATGTTGGATATTTTGCTTCAGCAATGACACAAAAGTAAGTAATACACAGCTAATGGAGTTGATCTCATCAGTGCCACCATTCACACCCCATGTGCACACGTTACAATGTCATAGTGCTTGGGTACCGGTACTGGAGTCAGAACCTGTATCTCAAGTGATTTCACTGATGCTTTGATAATATTCACATTGAGACCCATGTGTGTTCATGAAGTACTCCTTTACCTCTGGGCTGCAAAATTCAAAGTTTAAAAAAGAAAACTATAAAAATGTGGGCATGAGTTATTTATCATTTTATTGCTTGTTTCTCAACACATGTTTTTGAGGAATAGCAATAAGATGTCCAAAATTCAACATTAAATATTCAAATAGTAAAATACAGTGTGGGAAAAAAAAAAGCCCTCAAATGTTAAATAATCTAAGCTCTGTCAGAACCAACTGGGATAGCAGTGACTGGGTTTATCATCACGGTTTAAGATAGACAAGAATTGCTATCCTCTGACCCAAGGAATAGTAAGGAGCCTCAAATGCCAACCAACCCTCTAGGCACTGGAGAGCACTTTGGTCTCCCTTTGCAATGGCTGGGAGATTCTAATGAGTCCAAGTATGGCATTCTGCCCTATTTCTCCAGGTATAAAAAAGATCTTGCTGCCAAGACAGTCAAAAGAAACTCCTGTGGTTACCACTAGAATGTGAAGACCAGAAACAATCCCAAGTCCAGAAGGTGGCCTGCGCCTGCACAGTTCTCTGGTCCTTTGCAAGGAAACAGCCCATTTTAAGAGCACAGGGGAGAGGCCTTCAGCAGTGACCAGCTGAAGGCAGGACAACTGTGAGCAGCATTTCACTTGAAGGCACAGTGTTTTCATCATCCGGAGGGAGAGGGGTCACTGTTGTGAGCTATGTTCAAAATATACATCCTACCTTTGAAAAATTGTTAGCTGCCACACATTTGATTGCTATTTCAGCCCGACTCTTCTGCAAGACCCCGAATCTTGGGTACCTTGAAAATCCTGCTGTGCCCTATTCACTCTATAAGGAATCAGATTTCCAAGAGGTTGAGACTCAAAGGAACACATCGTTGTAATACATCATACAACAGGCAAAAATAAATACATGACTCTGTATGGGTGTGAAACTATCACATACAAAAAATAAATATCTCAGACACTGCAATGGAAGACTACATGCTAACATTACCTGGTAGACTCTCAAACTGGTGATTTTCCCATGAAACATTTATCTACCATGACTCTGATCAACTACACTTAAACTGACAAGCAAAAACGTATGGAAAACATTCTAATTGTTTTTAAAAGCAGACTTCATGAAGTACCAAGAACAGAGGCCAAGTCTGCTGATAGTCATCAACACAGCCAACTTAAATTCCTTTCAGTCCTTTGCCATGGTCATCTTAGGTTTCCATGACAAGAATGGACAAGAGCCAACTGCACCTTGTCATGACAGGTTGTAGCCACATGGACTCTGTCTTAAAGAACAACAGACCCCCACACTTTTGCTTAGGGATCAGCTTGAACCCTTTCTGCTTTGGAAATCTCAGCATTATGAATGCTCCTTGCAAACATGGGGCTGCTCAAAAAAGAAACAACATGAAAACATAAAGGTGCATTTATTTATGTCCATGCCATCTACAGCTACCAAGTACAGTAATAAGGACTAGAGAAAGGATGAATGAGAACCTAAAACAAAAATAACGAACACTAGGACATTTGCCCTCTGATTTGCAAGTCTGAGCTCAAAAAACTATTTTGCCTGTGGGCAAGCCAGTTTCCTCCCTGAGAAGTTCGCTTCATATTCCATTCTCTCACTCCAGCATCTTCTGTCTGTCATGATTAAGGCCTGGACAGTGTTAGGAAGGTGTGCGATCTCTCTGCAGAGCTGTCAATCACCCGTGGGCTCATGCTGGCTGTGGTCAGGCTGCCCAGCACTTAGCTCCTCAGGCCGCCTCCGCAGCTTCTCCACCATCTCCAACAGGGCGGTTCGCTCTCCTTCCAAGGTCAGCACGGCCTGCTTCAGCTTATTCTCATTGGTCAGGAGCTTCTCTACCGTGGCTTCAAGGCTCTGGATCTTACTGTGTGCCACCTGGAGAATGAAGAGAAATGAGAATGTACTTGCCCAAGGTAACACCAAAGGGCTCCACTATGGACTGCACCCCCCTAATTACTTACAGAGCAATTTGGAGCTGGGTACTGACAGAGACAAGCCTATAGGTGTTGATCAGCTCTGGTCACAAGGCAAGACTCCTTCACTCCACCCTTCCAGGCTGGCTGGGCCAAACAAACACCAAGATCCTCCTGCATTTCCTGCCTGCTGGGGCAGTTCTGGATGCCAGATACTGGGATGGTGGCATCTCATGGTGTGGAACCTAATCCCCTGGTATTCCCATTAGGAGACATAGCCAAAGAATGCTTCAGGGAGAAGGGCAGTGTTCAAGGACAGACAGACACCAGCTGTGTTAGGCCAATGGCCTGTTCTGACTAATGCATATGTCTGTAAGGACGAATTGACGTCAGACTGACAAAGACAGTCAAAATGGCACTGCAGTTCTTTTTATTTCCCACAGAGTAACAAGACATCCCCAGAGCGGGATATCTGGAAAGCCTAAAGTGGCACAGGATTTTGCTGACAGGTATCCACAGACTGTCTCTGCTCACCGCTGCCCTTAGAAAGGAGTTGTGTTTCACCCTCCACTCTACAGGAGGAATAAGGCTCTTGCACAGTTTACAACACCAAGAACACAATTAGCACCAGATATGATGCTCCCAGGTGTTCTCTACGCAAGCTCTAACAGGAGGTTGACGTCCCTGGCCTCTGAGAGCCTTCTGCTCAGTGTTGCATTCTCCAACGCTCTGGTCAGTAAGGTTTGACTCTACTCCATTAACCCAGCCCATGCCCTTACGTGTGTTCCATTGATTTCAGGAGGGAAAAATGGCACACTGATTTTTTTTTTTCTCGTTTTCAAACTGGGAAAATAGTTTTCAGTCAAGATACTGTGATCCCTGTGCCAGACAACTCCTGACTCAAAGTCTAGTTCTAGCTGTGCCACTAGAATACTCAAAACACAAGGAGAAAAGCACTGCAATCAGTCTGACACAACCTCTAAACACACTCTGTTCCTCCACCTCCTACCCACTGTCAAGGCTTGGAGAGGTCCCTCCTCACCACTCTGAAGTCCCATCACATTCTGAGGTGCGCCATGAAGCTCAGGGAGTAGTGACCTAGTCTGCATGGCCATATGCCATGCAGCTTTAGCAGGGGACCAATTTTCTTTGGTTAGGAGAGACCTCATTTGCATGGTTATTTTCTGCTCTTAGTGAATGGCAATAAGTCTTTCAATAAGACTTTTGTGGAAAGAAGTTTGTTTTATATCAGGTGATTAAAAATATGGTGAATGTTTGAAGGTTTAAAATTTATCACAGTGAAAGACACACTGACTGCCATTAATCCCCTTCAACACCCCCCGCCCATCGTATTGTTATTTCTGTCCCAGTTCTGGAAGACTTCTTTGTGTCTTTTGGTGGCTGCCTTGGTGTCCTGAATCAATTCAAAATCTTTACAGTAATTTCTGGTCAAAATGACCATTAAAGGAAAATTTTTTGAACTGATTCAATACATGGAAGTGCCATAAAAGCACAATTAAATACATAGAAGAGGACTTCCAGAGCTGCTTCAGAAAGTGGCAAGACCGACGGGATAAATTTATGTTTGAAGTGAGATGGAGTATTTTAAGGGAAATTAATGGCAGTGTGTCTTTTACTGCGATAATTTTAAAACATTCACTGTATTATGTGCTTAATTCTTTGTAACTCTGACATGGTCTTACTTTCCATGGCTTAGATTCAGAATGCAAATCAATGACTCATACATGTTGACGTTTATGAAAAATCCACGTGTTATTTGGAAACATTTGCCATGTCTTACATACTGCTGGACAAAAAGGTGAACGAGTCTCACCTCTAAATTCTACATGGCACTCTGGCATGTAATATGGCAAGTCCACCAACTACATGAAGAGAACAAAGTTGAAAAACAGGTCAATTTTGGTAATTAGGGGGGAAAATATTTACATACAAAACTTAAAGATGTATTAAGACACCTTTCTTACATAAAAGGAGGAATAGCTGTCACATACAACATACATATTCTCATAAAGAACAGCGGGAAAATGATATTCAAGCTTGCATGCACTGATACACCACAATATCCACCCTGACTCTGTGAGCTGCTGTGATTTACCCAGCGTGGTGGCCCTTGGCATGGTGAGAGCTCAGCAACTATGGTGAACTGAACTGGCACAAGCTGGAGTTCTTACTGATTCCCCTAGGAATGCAGAGCTACCTGGTCAACAGAATGTCATATAAGCAGCAAAAAAGCCCCCCAACCCATCACTAAGAAGCCACATGGCCATTCACCTAAGAAAATGCATCTTTCAGTTGAGAACTGCCTGTCTTAAAAAGCCAGATACTTCCAATGCAACGTAAGTTTAGTTAAAGCATTCCATTGTATTGATTTCTGGGGTTCACTGCAGGCTGGAAACTAAAACAAGCAACTGCACCATGCACCCTCACAGGCCACAAGAGGTTGTCTGTCTCCCTGAGATTTCCCCTCAGATTGTGGCTGAGACTTCTGGGAAAGGCAGTATAAGGCATGATTTCAGGAATAAAGAAGTTAACTTGCAGAATGTGACTGGCAATTCCGACTGGGTAAGGATGGCATTTTGCTTCTGTTCCTCTTCAGCAAGTATCTACTTAGTTCTACAGGGAGAAATATGTTTCAGACACAGATTGATCTAGCAGGCTTTCCAGTGCTAGCTTTTCCCGCATCTCCACCAAGCCTTTGTCTATAAAAAGGCAGTTTTTCCTGGAGATCAGTCAGGCTCAGATTAAAACAGAAGGTCATTCTACAGACAGTCCAGAGAACTCCACAGACAGCTTCATAACAAATTTTAAATATCCCCAAGAATTCCTATATAGTGACAGCATTCACTTATTAGTGATACTAAAGAAGTAGAATATATGGTGACTGTGCCATTTGACAACAAATGGGCTGAACCTGCAGCGAGGTCTTTTTTCTGTCTCCATATACAGATGAGGTTACAGGGCAGATCAGGAAGCAGCCTGCCTAGGGACAGTGCGCAGGGCCACCTCCAGTGTGGCAGATCATGGGTTATGCCAGATACTGACTCCATTTCACCTCCTGAGTGCCCAGGACATTCTGCCTTGCTTCTGTGTGTGCTCATCCACCTTAAGGTAGAAGTTTCTAGCAGGGAGAGTCATATCCTTCTTCATCTTGGTACTTGCACCAAGGATCTCCCAAGTAATAAGCATATGTTCTGGTTTATTTTGCCAGGTTTATGTGTCACTTGGCTCCCTCAACTTCTCTCTGTGGACCTAGCTGGCTTCCATTGTGGCAGTAAAAGCTCTTGACTCTCACTACTCAAGTAAGGTTACTGGCATTAAGATATTAGCACCACAACACCTGGAACCAAGCTCGTCTTTGGGCCTGTCTCCCGAAAGGGCAAGTGCAGAAAGAGACTCTGCAAAAGCTCTGGGGCTGCCCAACCCTAGCAAGGGTAACCTGCCTGCTCAGAAATAAAAGGAGCGATTCTCCTGGGATACCTTTGATCTCAACTACAAACATATCAGGGTGAGAAAGGTCCTCTGGTCATGGGAAAGCCAGTCTGCTGTTGCTTTGCTGAGTTAATGAACTACCACATACTGTGGTTCAGGAAGTTGCTCTATAAATATATTCTACCTGCAATTGTTCAAGGAGGTCAAGGTTCTGTTTGCGTAAGCTGCTGTTGGTTTTCTCTAATTTATCCATTCTTTGGTTGTCACTTAGAGGAGAAGAATCAATAAGTTCTTCTTGAAGCACATGGTATTCAACTTCATAAGCTTGCAACTGTTTAGCGATGTCCATCTCAAACACCTGTTAGATACAGAAAGGTCATAAGGCTCCAAAAATAAGAAAAATCTCACACAATCACAATGCAACTACACACACACAGTCATATCAAACAGCATCCATCAGTCACCATCTCCACCATGCGTGGTAACAGATGAAAAAGAAGGAAAACCCAGCACTGAGGGGGTAATAATTTACTTGGAAAGAAAGGATAAAAGAAACATCTAGACATAATTTCAAGGTAACAATAATTCGAAGGTGTCAGATATTCATCTTCCCAAAGCTAAAATCTTCTTTTTAAAAAAAGACAAAAAGACAAAAATTTTTTTAGTTTATTTACTTTAGTCTCTGAAATTATAATTAGGTTACATATATCATATATCAACTAGGGCTTAAAGGAAGAAAACACCAAAAAACCATAGCCTATTTGCACAGTCACCAAGCCAAGGTTAATTATAACTCAGCTGGGTTTCCAGAGTTGCAAACAGCTAAGTAATAGAACTGTTTACTAAAAATACTCTTCTTTGCACAAAGATATGCAAAAATGAGCCAAACCCAAATGTCACTCCCACATACAGATGAGTGAATATGAAACAATGCCTGAGTTGTCTCCCTTCCCATAACAGTAACAGTGATGACAAAATCACACATGTGAAACACAGACCCAAAGTGTGCAAGTAACTCAAGCGATGGTGGCTGTACTTTCTCCAGAGTAAGGAAGTTGCAGAACTGTTCAGGGAATGAAGGGGGACTTCACAAGAGCACAAACTGCCTCTCTACTGCATTTTCCTACAAAAGAAGCTCTAAGGTAGTCACAGACCAGTGGAAGCCAGGTGTGGTGTTGCATGGTTGTAATCCCAGCTACTTGGGAGGTTGAGGCAGGAGAATCGCAAGTTCATGTCTAGCCTGGGTGACTAAACTCTGCCTCAAAATAAAATACACGAAATGAGGATGTGCCAAGCACTTGTTTAATTTTAGCTGTACAAAGCCCTGGGTTCAAGCTTCAGCTCCAAATAAGGAAAAACAAAGAAAGAAAAATAGTTTCTCCTGATAGCTTCAATTTTCAAATATCATGTTTACTTTTGCACCATTCTTTGAGATGAATTTTTCAACTTCTTTTCAGTTTAATTCAGTGATTAGAGAGACCAGAGACAGAAAAAGACAGAGATTTACTCCAGACTCCAGAGCTGGTTTTTTCAGTCCTTTAGTGTGACCATATATGAAGTGAGTGGACATCACCATCTCCATTTCAGGATCAAGGCAACTGGCTCAGAGGCTTTGGGAGAGGCTCGAAATCTGGCTTCAACTGGCCACTCTAAATGACCTTAACTGTTACAAATCTTTCGAGCCTGGCCTCCAACATGGGGCTCATACCAACCACCTCTAGCATCCTGCCGAGAATGAAATGAGACGGCTCACATGAGCGCCCAGCACATACCTAGCTTTCTCGGCTAAGGGACCTGGTCTGCACGCTTGTCACACACCTCCCCATTCCCACCTTGTGCCTCCCCACAACCACAGTGGGGGCTATTTCACAAAGTCTCTGAATAACTCCAACAGAACCAAACAGGAAACCGGAGACCACTGTGGCACTGCATGTAATTACCAATCTGGGAGAAGTAAGTGTCACACACAAAATTTTTTTTACCCACAAAGATTTACTCCTAAATCACTTTTTAACCTGGAAAACCTAGCAAAAAGCCTCTGGCCTCTATGGCTTGAGGATCTATTGGGGTTATGGCTCTCGGTGGTGACCACTGGCAGGTGGGCACACCCTCCTCTGAGCCTCTGTTGGGTCCTACCAGCGGCTGTCCTGGGAGGTCATCAGCTCAGCTACCTGGATCTTTATCTCCTCTCTGCCCCACATGGATGGCCTTGACTGTAGTTACGCCCAGGACTGATCCTCGACTGCAGCTCTGATCCCTGACACTGTGATCAATCTAAGGGTCAATCGCTTAGGCAGGGGCAGAAGAGGAGAGTGGTGGGCCGCCCGTGTCCCTGCCATGTGCAACCCACTGCTGGTGTCAGTGTTTTGGCCATAAATAGAGCAGGAAGGTCTAAGATTAAAACCTGATCCTACAGGATGCTACCTGAGAGAAGCACAGTCAGTAAACAGAGAAGGGGAATGTGAAACTGTGCATAAATAGGAGAACAAGATACACTTGGAGGTGTCATTTTTTGGACGTGTGCTCCCCCAGAGAGTCACACCTAGTGGGATCTAATGTCTTCTCACCATCCTGGCCCCACAGTTTCTCCAGGGTTGTCAGGCAAGTTCCAAACTTTTGAGCCTGGAGAGAAAGGAGCATTCTTTTCTGCTTGCCAAAATAAAAATTACCCATTTCCCTATTTTCAATGTTTTGCCAAGAAGAGAAACAATTCACTTTTTGTTATTGGAGCAACACAGCTATAGTATAGGAAGACTGAAAAGACAAAAGAAAACTTACCAATACAACTTCCATCACTTTGCTCAATTTCCTTTCATCTTTATTTCTGTAAGTATGTTCTTAGTTTCCTATCCCACACTTTTTTTCTCACTTAACATCATCTTCTATAAGCTTCTTCACACTGCTCTATGTTTTTCATAGTCATAATCATATAAATGGCAGCCTGGTTTTCTAGCAACTTACCCCAAACCATACCAAATCACCCATAAAGTACTCAACATAAGCAGTGTTTCTTGCAACTGTAAGAAAATATCCTAATACATATGACTTGCGCCACATTTTTAATTATTTCCTCAGGACACAGTCCAAGAACTGGAACTAGAAATTAAGGAGTATGAATTTTTATAGGGTTGTAAATACATATTGCCAGACTGCTTCCCAAATAGGCAAAATCAAGGCACAATGCCACTATAACGTAACAGTGCACCACCTACAGTGTACCGTTAGAGTTGTGAACTGGCATTCAATGCCAGGTGGTTAAATCTAGTGGATAAGGCATTAGATGTTATGTCATATTTAAATTAAGCATGAAGCTAATATTTTCTCAGCTATCTGTTTACTAGATGGCTCTCCTCTTCAGTGAATTGTCTGTTTATGTTCTTGTCTCTTTTCTTCCTGGAGACTCAGTTTTTCTTTTTGGAGTCTGTGTAATAAAGCTCGCTAAATCTGTAGAGCTAGTCACACCCTGCCCTACAATCTCCTGGTCTTGGTGACCCACAGGAGCTGGGCAGGGGGAGCGCTCTGCCTGTGTATCGACTGCAAGGGGCACGATGTCTGCAATGAACTTAAAAACAACAGTAAAGCTGACTGGAAACAGGTCTGCTTTTTATTATCACCATATGTGAGCAATTCCAAACAATGCCAGAGGTACTGCTGTACCCCACCCCTCTTGGTGGGGCACTGCCGGTCCTTTTATACAACTGCTCGTTTTTAACAGTGCCAACTGCCCAAGGACAGAGGGCTCCTCAAGGGCAGAGGAGACTGCAACACTGTCCCACATCTCCTGAACACAAGAATCCTTAGGATTCTGATTTCCATCCTACAAACTAAGGGCAACACCTCACTGTTCTTGACACAGTGGCTTTCCGTGGTCCTGCGGAGGAGAATCTCCTTGGGGAGCCTGGGAAAGTGCGCTTCTGACTCAGTAAGTCTGGGGTGGGGCCGCAGATTCTGTTTCTAACAAGTTCCTACGTGATATGATGACTACACTGCGACTCAGGGGCCCGTGAACAAACACAAAGGATGTTAAAAAGAGGTTACTGGCTCTGCTTCCCAAAGCTGCTTTTTTTTTTTGGTCTTTTTCCTTTTTATCGGTACCGGGGATCCAACTCATGACTGCCTGCTTGCAAGGCAGGCGCTTATGCCGCTGAGCTAAACCCCCAGTCCCCCAAAGCTGCTTTTGATGCTTTCTACCATAAAATGAACTGAGGCTTCAAGGTCACCCCACACTCACTTCCCTCTGGTACTAGTCTTTCCCAGAGCACCCTTCTTCCTGGGCCAGTAGATACTTACAGTTTACAAGCAACTGGCAGTTCCCTGGGTGAGCACAAGTCACACTGAGGAGCTGCCCCAAAGGCTTTGGTGACCTGGGGGCTTACTCTGGCCTGTCAATCACAGAACTGCCTCTGTGGCTGCTCCCAGCCTGGCCACACCGAGCCAGAGCTCTGAAGCCCATCCTCTGCCACTCTTGCTGAGGCCTTCTGTGGGGAGCTCTCTAATGAAATGGGGCCCTGGCTGTCACAGAGGAGCACTCACACTCTTGCCACGGCAGTGAAAGCTTCTGTTGCTCCCACTCTGTGATCCCTAAGGTCCCGCCTGGAGCTGCCGAGGGGCTGAGCTGTGCTGTGGCCTGCTCTTCACATAGGACTCTGGAGGAAAGGCCCCGGGAGAAGGGCAGTAAGCCTGGGGGAGACTCAGAGTCACAATCCAGACAGAAACAGGGAGGACAGAGGGCTTCCTGGAGTTTTATCTTTTTTTTTTTTTAATCAAGACTAGAATGAGAAGTTGGGTGCCAAATATAGATTTTGTGCAACCTATACCCTTGTACCCATCCCGTTTCCAAGCTGAAGACATCGGGCAGCTGGAATTGCTCTTTGTTCCCTCACACCTAGACCTCTGGCATGTTGCGATCTTCCAGTTCAGAGGTCAGCCAATTACAGCCATGGGTTGCTTTTGTAAACAAAGTTTTACTGAACATAGGCACTTGGTCCCTTTATATGTCTACAGCTCCTCTACACAGCAAAGGCAAAGCTGAATAGGCGCAGCAGAGTCCTTATCAGCTGCAAAACCTGAAATGCTTCCTGTCTGAACTCTGCACAAAATGCTGACCTGCTCAGTCTTTTAGCTCCACCCGGATTCCACTACCACAATTCCAACAGCAGTACTCAGGCACCCCAAGGCCTGGTTCCCATTGGCCCTGTCGCTGCAAATGTGGTGCTGGGTCCGTCACTTTCTCTATGCCCCTGTTCTTCATCTAAAAAATGGGGATTGTAATATTATATCCTGGAGTTGATAAGGAGTCAGTGGAGTACTGAGTTCCAAGTTCAAAACAGCTGCCTGAAACAAATCAGGCACAAAAAGACAAACTACGCTCTTCCCAAACTGTGTGCACTTCTGTATCTTCAATATGCTAGGATCCTTCAGTATTGCTTTCTACAAGAAAGGGCAGTAATGGATATTTCCTCTGGCTCGATACTCAGGAGGTAAACTGCACAGTGAAGAGACCCGCCTTGAGATATAGATATAACCTCAGTAACCAAAGCCAAGAACCTACTGGACATAGATATGACCTCACTAACCTACTGGACATAAGCTATGACCTCAGTAACCAAAGCCCCAGCAGATATGTAACCTAAGTATTTACCACAAAAGCTATAAAAAAGGAACTGAATACAAATATGCTAGAAATAAAAGAATCACAAGGACGGACAACTCAGTATTAAGATGAAGGTAAGATCCAGAAAAACTCCCTAATTCCATGACTCCCAGAGACACCTGAAGTTGAATGGCTGCCGAAGCACTTTGAGGTGAGGGGTGCTGGCAGGCCCGCTCTCCCCTTTTGCAGTAAGTACAGTGAGTATGAGCCAGTGAATTAACCACTTACCATCCTCTCAGGAATGTGGTCATGAGTGGATGAGATCATGTGTATGTACAGATTCTCTAGAACCTGGCCAAAGGGAAGGACTCAACAAGCCAAAGCTATTCCCCATCAAGAGGACCATGCCAGGGAAGTAAAGCAGGAAAAGACAGAGAATGTCATTAACTAGAAACCGGGTACAGAATGGAAAAGAACTGCTCTTTCATACGGGAATATTCAGTGTGCAGAGATCCAAAGTAATGATTGATAGGAAGCGGTCTCCTTTTTCCAGGTTAGACTTGTGCTTTTTTTGCGTTTAACCATTCACCATCTAATCTAGGTGTAATTTCCAGCTAAACCTCCAACATTGCATAGAACAATGGTTCTACTATAAATGGAAACCACGTACTAAAACCACACTTGTGTAACTGAATTTTGGGGGGAAAAAACACACACACCAATAAAAGCAAATAAAAAATCTGAGCCAACAGATAAAGCCAAAATATACATGTTTTCTATCACAAACTATTATACAAGCTACAGTACATAATACCTTAGTTCACAAATGCTTCTGTTGGCAAACAATCTGGTTACAAAACATAAGTGTTTGGCAAAACTTTGCAAACTCTGCATCAGATGACAAACATGATCATGGCCATCTTCCGCACACAAACACAAACTCAGCCGTCTTTCTCCAAAATTGTAAAACGAACTTAGTTCATAAACCAAGGTATTATTGTATTTCCAAAAATTTTCAGTTAATACTATTCAGCGGAAAAAGTGCAGCTTTCGTAAAAGCCTGTATTTTACAAATGTATGGATTTAAGGAAAATAAACATTTAAGAGCCGAATGTCTCTTAAATGTAAGAAACTGACAACTTTTGCAGGCTGTCACATCTAAACACTGCTGAGTTTCCTTGTGCCATTTCACCGTTACACAACACACACACCTAGTCAAGCATTTCATCATCCAACATGGATCTGCCTCCTACACAGCAGCACTGCATAACATGCTGCTGAGAAAGCAGCATGGGTGGAAAGCATCTCCTGCTCTGAATTTCAGCTTCAACAGATCCAAAATCACTTAAGTGTTTGGAAGCTCTGGGCTGAACCATACCTGATTGATGGTCTTCTCCATTTGCACCAGACCCAGGTTGGGCAGTGTGTTTTTTATGAAGTCCACTATGGTTTCGAGGTTCTCATGCTGCAGAATCAAGGGCTTGTGGCTTCCCAACAGACTTAAAGCCACTTTAAATATGACCTCTGATCCCTGAAGGAAGATCATATCTGGGAAAACACAAGGATTTCAGAGGTAAACCATACCGGTTTCTAGTGAAATACCATTTTCTGTTTCCTTTTCCTCATAGTATAAAGCAGGAAAGTGGGAAATCTAACCCCAAAGTGAAAATTTTATTTTTTTTAAGAACTGGATATTTCACAGGGGGTTATCAAGACAATACTGCAAACAGTAAAAATAATATATAAACATACTGCTTAGATTTTGTCAAAGGTTCAGATAAATCTTTTTTCCGCTCTAAAAATGAATTAAATTAAAGCAGGTTTCAAAGTTAAACTGAGAATGAGACCAAATGTTTTTCTAGGAATGCTCTGGATTTTTAAAGGACTTACTAGTAGAAAATGCTTTTACGAGTAGGTCTAAAAGATGTTTACTGATATTGTATCAGAAATTAAGATAGAGTAAGTGAAAAAGTGCCTCTATTTCCTGTTTTAAAACAAGAGATGAAATTAAGTTATCTAAAAATTGTAAAAGGGTTACTCAGTTGTCGAAGTACATTATTAAATGTAAACATGCTGAATTTCCATTCAGCGAAAGACATTTTCTCCCTGAGGAGTTTAAAGAACTTGGTGAAAGTTACTTTCTAGTTCTTGCCATATTTCAGCATGGCTGGTGAGTAACAGCAGGTTGCATACTGACTTATTTCAGCAGGAGGCAGCAGGCAAGTGGCTGAGATGACCACATGAGCAGCCGGAGCTGCTGGAAAAGAATCTAATGCCCTGAGGCCAGCGCAGCCACAGCAACTATTTACTGGATGACTAAAAGCAAGCAAGTTATGTATGAAAATACATAACTTTATAAAAAGTAAAAATATTATTAGGGGCAACGGCCAGTATTATTTTTAGTCTTTTGTTTCTGGCTTTCAGATAATGGAAAGACAAAGTTGTGAAGTGTAAAATCAAGAAGAACAAAAGCAGGCAAGAGGACAAACCCCTACCATGATGCCTTCCAGGGGGCTCAGTGTGATGCCATGTAAGAACTATTAAGAAACAGAAAAGCAGCGGGTGCTTGCTCCCATACAAATGGGAAACTGAGTCAGGGTGGCTTCAGACAAAGCAGGGGGAGGAGAAATGACATCTAGTGTCTATGGTCAATTAGCCTCAGGATGCTCTGTGACCTTCACAAAGCCCTTGACCACCAAAGCGGAGTTGGTGTGCACCTGGATGGACCCTGGGCAGTGTCACCCCTGAGCTCAGCCTGCACCAGTGTACCAGCACAGGGACCTCGCTACTCCGCACACATCACCACTGCTGGTGGCCAGGGTGTTCCTGGGGGTGGGAAGGACCGGCCATTCTTCTTTCCTAGCACTTGTCCCTGAAGCTGGGAAGATAAATTAGAAAAGCGATTGCATCGTTGAAATCGGAGTTTCTTAAGGGGACGTGTGATGTGTGTAAAGGGGGAGTTACCAAAGAGGATTCCTATGAAAAGCCTGGTCCATAAACCATACGGCCTAACCATGCAATTCACCACCGCAGGAAATGAAGACCTAAGGTGCATTTTTAAATGGAAATTATATTTCTACAAGAAAGTAAATTCGAAGTCTCAGTGATTTGTAACAATAAGGCTTCTTTTCAGTATGTCGACCTTTGTAACTGAACCAAAAGTTTATCTTTCAGAATAAAAATTGAGATCTTCTTTGTAAAGATTTTGGGGAAGGCTTCTATTCCCAGCCCAGAAACAAGAAAAAAAAGCACCTTTCGTTGAGGCTGCTTGTCACTGCGGCTCTGACATGCGGGCTCATGAATGCTTGCTGCTAGCCGGGGAGCTCCCTTTGTCTCCATGCCTGCCTCTCCCGGCACCCCACTTTGACCCTAGATGCTTTGGGAGACCAGAGAGCCCTTAAACATGGACTTCACTGGATGCCCAATGCAGGAATGTGGTGAAAGGGTTGAAGAAGACCCAGCTCCTCAAGCTTCGGCATGGAAGACGGATCTCCTGAATTTACCTGATGACACTTGGGGGCAGCAGCTACATTCTTTAAACAATTGGTCCCTTCCTTTTCTCCTGAACTTCTAAAGATAATTTTTAAAAGAATAATTTAAAATTATTACTTACAATTCAACAACTATTTTTATTCTGCTTAGTTTCTAATCTTTATACATTTGTACTCTGGATTGATTATTCATTTGTTATTTTTGTGATACTGGGGACTGAACGGAAGGTTCACTAAGCTACCGCCCCCCACCTTTTTAAATTTTTGAGACAGTTTCTAAATTGCCCAGGCTGAGCTTGAACTGTGATTTTCCAGCTCCAGCCTCTCACAGTGCTGAGATTCCAGGTGTGTGCCACCATTTATAGATGGCTTAGATAGATAGATAGATAAAACAGTACTGTCCTTAAAGAGTACACGAGGGCTCTGCACTGTGAAACCACTGTGTGGAAAATTAACAGTGGACACTACTGCAACAATGCGCAGCCGCCTGCCAGTACTTTCTGCCTTTCCCTTCTTAGGTTTTTAAGCCACCTGGAAACAGGGAGTTCAGGAACTTTAAATTCAGCTGACTCCCATAGTGCACTTGATTCACTGAGAACAATGTAAATAGCTACTTTCATTTGGAGACATTTTAGCAGCACTTTTACCCTACTGAGTAATTTTTACAATTCCATGATTTGAAAGTGCAATTTTCTTTTTCTTTTCTAATTACCTTTTTCCACAGTAATCCTTGTCTCTCCTTAACTTTCCCCTGGGAGGCTGCAGTCCTCCAGAGTGCACAGAGGAACAGAAAGGCTGATAACTACACAGATTTTGCAAAAACTCAGTTCATTGGCTGGGCATGGTAATGCACGCTTTGTAATCCCAGGCTTCTGGGAGGCTGAGGCAGGGTTGCATGTTTGAGCCCAGCCAGGGTAATTTAGTGACTCAGCAAGACTGTCTCAATCAATGAAGCAAGCAAGCAACCAAGGGCTAAGGATCTAGCTCCGTGCAAAAAGCCTGAGTTCAATCCCGTGTATCACTATTACCACCCCCAAAACAACAAAATCCTCAGTTCCTCAGCACTGCAGTGTGCTGCCTAAACAGCCTGTTTGCTGACCATACAATCTTGTCTTTATTTTCATCCTGAAGCCTTTGCTATATTGCAGGTGGCTTTTGTAATCTGTGCCAAACCCTTAATTTTGCACTCCACCTCCCCTTCATCTCCTTGGCAGGGCACCCTAGAGGACAACATCAGGGGTCGAACACTACAGCTTCCCCTTTGGCAAGAGCAAGCCAACTTCAATTTTTCAGACTTCCCTTCCAAGGCAGATGTGGTTAGGTCATGAACAAAGTGACCATTTCTTCCAGGGCCCCCCTACATTCAAACATATAGAGGAGGCGAAACACAGGAGGCGGCTATTAAATATCATGTCACCCAGATGGGGCTGACCTCAGACAAGTGTGAATGTGTGGCTGGTAGCTACCCCTCCAAGTAGCATATCCTTAATCGGAGATAAAAATTAATATGTGAGCTATGCTGATGTGAACTGTGAGTCTTTACCTAGTATACAAAATAGTGGATGGTCAATACAAGTTCACATACTGTCAGACTTTTCCCAGGCTCAAAGCCTCATAATGAAATGGACTCTGGCCAAGAAACAAGAGTGGATGTCAGGTTCCAACCAAAAACAGTTAACTGCTGTCATGGAGTTAAACAAATCCATTTAAATTACCAAAGTTATAGGTAGAAGTGGATTTGAAATATCAAGTTTTTCAGTGGACTCAAGGGTTTTAAGTCCTAAAGGCTGGGGTGGACGATGCACACTCACTCCTGTTTGCAAAGTGACATCACAGCAGAGGGCAGCTGTGAGATGCTACTTCCTGCCTGTAATCCCAGGAGCCCTCTCTCAGCCAGACAGGAAACCACTGAGTGCAGCAGGGAGCCGAGGGACCCAGGAATTAGGAAACATGGGCATCTTTCGGTACACTGTGTAAGAGACTCCAGGACCCACCACCACCTAGGTAACAGAGAAAGGCAGCCTGTTTCTACTGTCCAGCTTTTAGCTCTGAAGTCACTACAGTGACCTTCATTTGTTCTGCAACAGAAGAGCTGCCACCTCCCAAGGTTGTTGGTTTTCCACATCCTTTACACTTACTACTTACTAAGTAAGCCTAAGCAAAGATTCGCCTCCTACAGCCCAAAAGGCTCAGCAGGCAGCAGCTCCAGGGGGGCCTGGGGTAGGGATGACTCAGTGACCACCACTCCACTCCTTCCAGCTGAGGCAGTGATCAGCCCACCCCACTTGGTAGAACTTTCCTCACAAACCACAAAATTCAATGTCTGAACTGTTTTTGAACTTTTAACAAACCACATTCCTCCTCCCCTACTGTATCAGATTCTCTCCAAGACCCTGTATCAAGCAGATAAACAATGAGGAGAAAACAGAAAGTAAAAAAATACGGCAGTGATTGGCAAGAAAGAAAAATTCATAGCCAAAGCTCTTAAAAAGCTTTTATAACTGTTCTGTTAGTACATACAACTCTCCATGGGGGCTCTGATTTTTTTTTTTTTTAACAATGTTCTAAACCTCCATGAAACCTGATTAACAATTTGCTTCACCATATTTGGTATCTATTGTGTTTTAGGTCTTTTTAGAGTTTGAAAATAATTTATGTAAATAAGGGTTAAAAATATTTTACATTTTAAGACTATGGTTCTTCTAGTGAGGCCAACTGAGAAATGGTTCAAAGATTCTTGAGGATAGAAGGGAATAATGACCTTTTAAAATTCAGTGTTCTACAGAGAAGGCAACAAGTGTTCATTAGATTACCAAGCAAATTTAGGATTTCTAGGATCTCTGGATATATAGCATGTGTACCCAAGGTATGCCTAAAGTAGCACACTCTCCATGTTTTTGAACATCCCCTGTATGACATTCTCAAGCTCTAAAAATAAATCATAAAAGTATGACAAGGTTACATGTTTTTAAGCTACTCAATGACTCTCCAAAAACAGCATTTAAATACACTTGATAACTAGTGTTGATTTCTTCCTGTTTTTTTTGAAATCCTGTATTATTTCTTTTTGTTTTGCTTTAAAAATAAAGAGAAAAAAATAAATACACTTGATATGTGCTCATTATCAGTTTTTTAAAGCAACTTTTTCCTTCACAATAAAAAAGGAAACCTCAATTGTCAAAAAATACTTTCATTTTGAAGCAGGGAAATAAACCATGTAAGAGTTGATCATGGCCAGGTGTGGTGTGCACACCTGAAATCCCAGGATTCAGGAGGCTGAGGTGAAGAATGTCAAGTCCATATAGAGAAAGACTGACACATATGCATACGTGTGCATGCGTGCAAATTAAACATGCTCACAGTATCTTACCAGGCTACTGAGATGAAGGCAGTTTTGAGATTTTGCACATGAACACCTACATCATCAATGCCAAAAAGAGGATGATTTGACAGGTGATCAAACTGACGGCACAGCAGGGCACAGAAATGGAAGTAATTGTGATACCTGAAATCCATGTAGAGGTGCCAGAGCAGAGGAGAGGAGAATCACCACATGGAGGGGTCACCCAAAGCCCTGACAGGTCTTCCAGAGGGTGATTATGGAGAAAATGAAAAGCCGAGTGCAGAGAAAGAAAAGAAATGGGAGGAGGGATAAGGGAGTCTAGAAAGAGCAAGAGCTCAGAAGGTGCAGGTCAAAAAGTTGTGCAGAATGGTCAGTGGACAGCACAGTTACGAGGTGGAGAGGCTGATTCCTGAGAAATACACCCAGGGCTCCCTGTCAGATCTCCCAGAGTGTCTGCTCTAGGGACGCCTCATGGAGAGGGAATCTGACCAAACCCATGAATCAGAGACACCTAGGGAAGCCCAGGGTGTCCAGAAGTGAGGTGGCACCTGAAGTGCCAACGCCAACCCTGACCTATCGAACTGGCCTATCGAACAGTACGCTGTTCTTGTGAGATGCAGCTATAGAAATAAGCAGAATCATCACTGAGTGAGAATAAATGCTTCTTCTCCAACAGAAGAACATTCATTCTGGCAAAAACATGCATGAAGCTCACCAAAGACTCTGGCTACAAATCCCAGCGGGAATTGTGAGGCGAAGACGGTGAGAAACCATGGGGCGGCGTAGAGGCTGGGTCCGATCTCATGCTCCTCCAGGTGGTCGTAGAGGTCGCGGTGGTAGTCATGAAGGAGCCTTGAGAGCTGGTACATTTGGATCTGCAGGCGAGATGCCCACCAACACTGAGAGTTAGCCATCTGCTACATGCACAAGTCACCCAACCCATCACGAGGTCTAGGAGAATTATCAGCACTTTAAACTTAGGCTCTCCTGCTTGAGCCTCCCAGAGTGCAGGAACTACTTGCACGTGCCACCATGCCCAGCTTTTTAGTCACATGATTTGGTATTCTCAAATTCCTTGCTCTAAAGATACTTTCTAAGACTGAAAGCACAGAATCCTGCCATGAAGTGAACACATAAACACGTGCCTCAACATTTTAGGCAACATTTAGGAATAGTCATGGAGCAGGACCCAGAGCTCTCTCCACCTCTGAAAGGTGACAGGACCAGCAACCGGCATGCAGAAGGAACACTGCTGTGTTTGGTTTCCTGATAGACTAGTGAACCCTTTAGAGCTTTCAATGATAGCAATAGCCCACTGTGGCACCCATGACACAGGTCCCAACCACTAGACTAAGTTTAGTCAATGAATACTAACTGGAACCTCCTCCATCCAAGCACTGTTTTAGAAATCAGAGACACAGCTCTTGCACTAGCAAGATCCCTCCCTTCTCATAAAGCATACATGCTGGTCAGAAAGCAAAAAGGTAAACGAGTAAGTGAACACAATCAATAATTTCCAGCAGTGAATGTGTTACCCCAAAGGAACAAGACAGGACAATGCACCATGGTATGCTTGGGGCAGAAGTGGAAGACAGAGTTGCAGTGGTCAACTCTCCCTGGATGTGATACTTGAGGTGAGCCTCGGGTGATGGAGTGAGGGAGGGGTGTGGAGGCCCTGGTCAGAGAGGGCAGCAGCACGCAGGCCGAGAGGGAGGAGAAGAAGATGGGTACAGAGGGAAGGTGTTAGAATCAGACAGGCCTGGGATTAACTGCAGCTCTGCCCCTTCACTGTGTGACAAGCGCAGATTATGCACCTGCTTTGAGCCTCTCTTTTCTTATCTACAAATTAAGACAGTTAATAGTGTCTTTCCATGTGGATTATATAACTGTGTATAAAGCACATGGAACGATGGATGCATGGAGCCAGGAATCAGCAATGACAACTGTCATAATGTTAACTGATGGTAAAAAAACCTCCTTCCCTGTACCTGATGAGAGCTAGCACACATTTTTTAGCTCATTTTTATAGTGACATAACAGAACATAACACACCTGCAAAATAATCATGTCTGGCCGATACTGTTTCCGCAGTCCCATGTCAAACATCAGAAACTTGAGCATTTTAAATGCCTCTTCCTCACTCATATGAAGCAGCAGGATGCCCGCCACAAAGCTGAGACCTTGGCAATATCCCACTTCCTGGTCGAGGAGTGAGTAGGCCTTCAGAATGTTGTAAAGGGACAACTGCCCAGCTCCAAGCTGGGCAGAGAAGTACGGATGCGTAGGAAAGGTTCGCCCTGGAAAAAGAGAACAGGCAAGTTGTTGTTGCTTCAGGTTCAAACAACAGGATCATGGGATGCTGGATCGCAGTCTCTAATACCTGACACTGCCTCTGCTCTCTGAACAACGGCAGCTGGTTGTCCCAGGAATGTTTGCAATTGAAAATGAGCTGTCTTTTGATGGTGGTTCAGGTGAAAGAAATTACAACTACCTTTGGCCCTGCAAATGTGTGGACTTCAATATAAAACAAAACGGAAACTGTTGTGCTTCTAATACACCTCTTGGACATTTCTTTTTCCTTTTTATCGGTACCAGGGACCGAACTCACGACTGCCTGCTTGTAAGGCAGGTGCTTATGCTGCTGAGCTAAATCCCCAGCCCCTACCTCTTGGACATTTCTGCACTTTGAAGGTACAGGCTGTGCTGTCCAACAGGCTGAGGGGCAGCAAGTGTTTTCTTTATTCCAGAAAAGCTTAAAAGAAGCCTTCAAAATCCTTATCATTTTCACAAAATATCTGAGGTCAAATAATGCTTCAAGATTCTTTTTGGGCCAGAGGACTTTTGTGGCCAATAGCTTTCAAGGCCCCTTGCCCTCCTCCTTCTGGAAGGTAACAGCTGAAGAAGTACATTTCCAAGGGTTCAGAGCAGTGACGCAGTGGCCTAGCTTGGACCCAAATGAGACGTGGCTGGGTCAACAAGGCAGCAGGTTCATCGACACTACATGTGAACTGTCCACTATAGTACTTGGTCTCATGTGTTCTTTCTTAGTTTCCAGACAAACCCAGCATTTGCTCCATTCTGATGGGCTTGTCTAGACAATGGAGGAAGATGGCAAAGGACTTCTAACTACTTTCCAGGATTTACTTCTCGACTGGTCTACCTCATCCCACACCAAATCTTCCCCAATACTCCCTGCATATGTCACCCACTTTGTGGAAACAAATCAACAGCACCTTAGGGCTCACAGAATAAAGGTTCCACTTTCTCAGCCTGGGCCTCTGCACATATGCCTCCCCACCTACCCTCAACCCTGGGGGCCCAATGCTGGCCTAAGAGTGGGGACTCTGAGGGTGTCTGAACCTGTCTAGATTGTATGCAGCACCCAGTGTGAACGGAGCAAAGTCACATCTGTGCATTTGGCTAGTTTACAGCAGCAGGTATAACCAAACTGTAATTTGAGCTATAAATGGGACTAAACAGTTCTTGGTAGCCACATGAAAAAGTTACAGGTGAAATTAATGTTAATAAGAATTTTTATTTAACTCAAATAAGCATTATCATTTCAACACGGTGACCAATATACAAATTGAATTATTTTACTTTTGGGAGTAAGTCTTTAAAATCCATGTATTCTTTCACAGATAGCACACCTCAATTTGAACCCACTATACTTTAAGGACAAGTGTATTGCTTCCCTCTGATTCTGCAAAACACCTAGAATCCCTTCCACTACACTACCTCCAGCTACCAGGCCAATGGAGCCTTCCCTGCCTCTTCGTGGTCTGCTCAGGCCCTTGTCCAGAAAGCAGGCCCTTTTCCTTGGGTCTCAAACTCATGCTGGAAGGAGAGGCCAGGGGAGTCAGAGTCATGTGACATAGGAGAATGCCAGGGAAGGGTCCGATATTTGGATTTGTGATTTCAAATTTAAGCAGCCAATGTGATCCTTTCAAATGATCAGACATCCTCTTTGGGTAGATAGTATGTATCCCTAAGCAAAGCCAGAGATCATGCCAACTGGCCCTGTCAGAGGAGTAGCCTTTCTCTCTGAACCCTCGCAACATGGCCTGTTCAGTTGGGAAGAACATTGTGCTAATCTGGCCCCTCAAGTGTCAGGTATGGGGACAGAGCCAGCTTCACAGGCTAGCATCCTGGTGCAGTCAGGCTGACTCTGTGTTTGGAAGGGCCTCACAGAAGAGTCAGTGCTCTGGGGTCACTACGTTAGAATTCCTAATTTTTGAACAAGGACATCTGTTTTTATTTTGTAGTAGGTCCTGCAAATGATGTACCCTATCTGGGAGAGGAAGCCTGCTAAGTAGCCCGTAGAGGTAGCTCTAGTCACCTTCCCACAGTCTTGCTCTCAATGGTGTGTTATATAAAAACAAAGCAAACCTTAGACCAAATTCTACCAAACACATGACTTTTATTATTTGCAAGCTAACAGGAGAAGGAATCATACGGAGCTTCTTATGGCTCTGTCCTCAGCCTCTGACAATCACTTCTTGGGAAAGGCTCAGCTGGATAAGGGTACTGTGGGAATCTGCCAGCCGGGCCACCCATGATCCAGTCATTTTGACTTTTTTTTTTTTTTTTGTCTTTTTCGTTTTTATCGGTACCAGGGATCGAACTCACGACTGCCTGCTTGCAAGGCAGGCGCTTATGCCGCTGAGCTAAACCTCCAGCCCCGATCCAGTCACTTTGATGCTCCATAGAGCACAGGGTCACGAGGCTGACAGGCACTGCCTTGCATTCTGCTCCAGCCACTGGTGGCAGAGCCTCGATCCCTTGCTAACCAACCACAGATCTTGAACATCATACATTTCACCAATAAAGAATTACCCTTAGTATCCCTTACACAAAGGTCAAGCCTCTGATGGGCATTTCAATGGTATTTTTAGCATCATCTGTGGCAGGTGCAGCTCTGAATAAAAATCAGTTCTTGGAACCTTTTCTTTCTCTCCTTTAAAATGGGCAGAAAGCCTGTTTGGCAGAGCTGGGACCAAAGCCTGACCAAGTGGCTGCCTTGAAGGAGGAGCTCACTGGTGTCTCAGCTACACCAGACACTCACAAACCCAGCCTTCACCCAAGACAGAGAAAAAGGGGTGTGTACGACAGCTCCGTAGTACCAGTGCAAAATGGCTTATATATTTCACACAAAAGAGTGATGTTACATTATTGACCATCAAGTTTCAAAGAGCCTAGAAATCTTGCCTTCTAATAGACTTTTAGAGGCAAAGGAAAGTTTCAACCTAGCACCTGATTTTTCACAAAATTTAGAATTCAAAAACAATGCAGAACCGAAAGCTGGTACAAATTCCTCCTCCTCAGTGCTGCCATCATCATCATCATCATCATCATCACTGCTTTTTAGATTCACCAAACAGCTGTGCGTCCCAAGCTTTCTCTTCTGTGGTTACAACTCAAAACAGTGAATCATCCCTGTCACGGAGCTGCAGAAACAGTAACTGATTTTATTTATGCCAGAAACCTGTCCTACACAAGCCTGGCCAAGCTGAAACACATTTTTCAGTGTGTTCCACTGTGATTTCCAAATGCAACGTCCTGTTTCACACAGGGTGGAATTTGGCACAGGAAGACAGGAACCCTAGTCCACCCAGGTGGGGAACAGCCCAGGCATCTGCCCTCAGCTCCTGACTGGTGGGAGACTGACCACTGTCTGACTTGGTAGTTCAGTCCACGCTGCACAACGCATTTTATTCTGGTCTTCCTTTCCTTTAGGTCAACAGTTGTCAATTGTGGTCAGTTTTAGCAGGTGGGAGAGAGAACTCAAGGCCCTTTCAGGAGTCCATGAAGTCCCTTCTGCTTTCAACTATAAATCTGTACAAAGTCAGCCTTTAACCTTGTATGTCACATAAAAAACCAAACAGACTGAATGAATTCAACAGAATTCAGGTGATTCTATGAAATCACACATTATATTAAAGAGTTTTTTTAAAATGTCACTTCTCTCTTTTATTTGAAATTGGTCCTTTTAAATAACAGGTTTGAATCAGATTAAAGTTTTCAAAATACATGTGTACTTTTAAATTGTCAGCTTTATTTCTTAACATGATAAATAAAAATAGAAACTATCAGTGTAAACAAAAGCTTGCTGGTTTATTCAATGATTTTTAAGGGTGAAAAAGATCCTGAGGTCACATCTGGGCAAACACCATAACTTACCTACTTTTCTGTGTGTATACCAGGTAAGGGGAGACAGCAGGTAACATGGGAAGAGAATGGATTATTTGGATCAAAAATGTTCACTGAACAATCCATAGCTATACACTCCACTATGGGACTATCTCCCTCTAGCGTGCAAGGCATTAAACTAACTCAAAGAAGACAAATGCATCTCATAAAGACCACACTCAGGGTGCTCACCTGCACTGGGGCCTGGAGCCGTGCGCAGTGCATGTCTGAGGACATGCTCAGCTCCTCTGCTCATTCAAAGCATGGCGATTACAAGCAAAACACGGCTGCTGCTTAATGTTTATGAAAAGATCTTTGTCTGATTTTCTGACTCAAAAGCCTGTAGCCTCAGCTGTAGAACGCATCACCTCTCCTGCCCCCAGCAGCAGAGCCGCTCTAGGAGGCTCCAGCTTGGGGAATCAGATGTCACTTCTGCCAGCAGCGAGGAAAACTGGATAAAAATGCTAGCGTTCCTCCTACAAATGTACTGAAATGAAGTATGTGTCTCTTTCACCTGTATTTTACAGTTGGCCATGAAGTTAAGAGAAGGCAGTTCCGTTCCATTTCTACAGCAGAGTTTACCTTCACTCACTTTTGTCCAGAGGGGAACTGTTACGTGGAGACAGTGGTAAACGAGGACACAAAGAAATACTCTTAATTTTATAATTTTATAAAAAGCAAACGTAACAATTTTGCACTTCATGTGTCTAAGTGGAGAACCACACAGGAAAGACAGACAAGGTGCTATACAATTCAGATGTATTTGTAAGTGACCCAGAACTTAATTTTCATGATGTGCTCCTAAGGAAAGCCACTCGCCTAGGAATGTGTTTCCGGGACCCATCCTTTCCTTTCCCATCACTTGTTGCTGAAGAACAGTTGCACCCTGTGATTTTCAGCAGGAGTTACATTAGGTCATCTAGTGGGCTGGTAATTAACCCTGTATATCCCAGGATGGCCGCTGGGCTGGATCTTCATCAGTAGCATAGCAGGCAGCAAGGGTGGCCTCAGGAAAGTTTATGAGCTCAAGAACCCACAGGGAGGTGGTCCCTGCCCCATGTGGTGAGAAACACTATCCAGTCTAGATTACATCCTGCCTTACTCTATGAAGAGCCCACCTGGCTTCATTTCGGGCAAAATCTCTTCGCATTGTCAACTACACTGCAGCTGCTGCAAAAATGGACCACCTGGCAAAGCTGTTCAGTGTGACTCAGGCCCTGAAAAGCTCACTGACAAGCTTCTTTCTTTTGCTCTTTTCCCCAGGAGGCTGGAGGTTCCTCCATCTCTACTGGAAACAGGCAATCTTATGCTGACTCTCACTTCTTGACCAGGTTCCTCATTTGCAGAAGAACCCACAAGCAGGTGACCTGCAAGATTCCTTTCTGGATGAGGGCTTATCATTCTAAAAACATTTATATTTGGCTCTGAGCAGAATTTGAAAAAAAAGCCTGAAGGTAAAAAGAAACACTCTTCATGTCACTCTTCAGAGTGTTTAATAATGTGCCCATCAGCGGTCCAGTAGCTGTCTTCCTTTAAGAATGTGTGCTTCCTGAAGGACCTGTGGAATCACCACTAATGGCATGACTGAGAGACTAAGAAGATCGCGATCTTTTCTGAGCCATTCTTTCCTAGGAAACATCTGATTAAGTCCAGTGACTCCTGGAACTGGCTCCTGGAGCTCTGTGTACATCTGTGCACACCCGTGCCATTCATGACGTCAAGTTCAGTACCCCAAAACTGACTATGATGGGAGTCAGAAAGCTGCACACATAAACACCACTGACTGGCTTTGTGGGTGCAGGAAAATTTCATTTTACTCCTTTCTTTTATCACCTGAACCTATTCTATCACTCTGTGATTAAAGGGGCACATTTAGAATGATCAAACCAAGATGCTTTCACGATGTGACCTGGATTCTATCAGAAATGCCAGTAGACCCTCTGGCATGAGCTGTGTGGCCACTGGTGCAGGAGGGTGTCAGGCTCTGGAAATGTTTCAGTGGTTTCCTTAGAGCAGAGTCCAAAACCAGACAGAATGGTTATTGTTTAATGAAGTTCTGTATGTTGAATTCTAGGCACTTTTCTGTCTGTCATCATTGAGATGAGAGTTTCTCACACTGGAATTCAACCCAAAGACCAAAGAGAGAGCAGTGCTGTCCCCAGCCCCATTAACAGGGAGCAGCGTACCATGCACCCCCATGGGGTAGCCACCAGCCAAGCAAATGCCAGTGAACTATCAACTTCAGCTGGTTCCTTCATTTTGGAGGCTCTGCTACTCCTTGTCTTTTGAGGATTCTAAAAAAGCAAGAACATTCTCCTCCTTGACACTTGGATTATAGTTTCTTTTCTTCCAGACTTTGGACAAATGTGAAATCCCTGGTTGAAGTACATAACACAGAAGTAAACATCCACATGGCAACTCTCCTACCAAATCCCTAACACAAACAAATCCCCTGGACATGGCTTTGCCACTCCCGCTCTCTGAGACTTGGTGAGTAAAATGCAGCAATTACTGATATTGTAGCAGTATTAAACCTACTTGTACATGTGAGCTGTGAAGACATGTATCTAATAAGCACATGTGTATATTTTCTGACTTAATTATTAAACTTGGACCTTTTGAGTTACTTCATAAACTTAGTTGAGGTATTTTTTTTTAGCAGCAGTAATACAGAAACTACAAAGATCTATCAAACAGCTTTTTGCTCATGATACTGCCACACAGACAATACGGTTAATACTATTAAATAAATGGTTGTTTATTAAGTTTTGGTATGTATAGTGCTGCAATCAGACATTCAACTTGAAGAAAAATTTGAGCATGTCTCTACTAGATTTTTATAAGACCTGTCTTCCTAGAGAAAAACGCCCCTAGACTCACAACCGCATCTTAGTTTGTCACTTCTTTTTGGCAGGGCACAAAGTTTGTGAACAACTATTTTCAGGGACAAAGCAGATGAAGACCGCATTAGACCAAACGTTTCTGATTAGCACGCTGAGAACTATGAACTGCAAACACTTCCCCTAGCCAGACGCTGATGCAGGAGCTTCACAAAGACTACGTCAAATGTCTCACTAGATCTCTGCTGTTTTAAATGTTATAATAAAAGTATTTTAAAAGACATTTTGTTTCTTACGCACATTAACTGTATTTTCTATGTGCCCTGACATAGTTCCTCTCGGGCAGCCCAGACAAGTCGAAGGGCTGGATACTCATGGGACAGGTGAAACAGAAAGTGTGGACCAACACCAGACTTGGTAGAGGCCTTGGGAGAGGAAAGGAACTGGCCCCGCTGGAGCCGCCCATAGTGGGCTTTCCTGACCCCTGCTGGCAGGAAGGCACCATGGACTCCAGCCCAGGTCAGTGGGAAGAAGAGCTGACCCCAGGAGGGCCTCTGTAAACCCTGGAAGATCTGGAGCAGTGGCTTGGGAAACAGATTATTGCAAACAGATTGTTTTAGGCTCTGGGCAGGGCATTGTGAGGGCATCCCAGAGAGAGGCTGAGTCAAAACAGCAAAACATGGGGTCAATGCTGTCAGGCTAGGGGAGCTGCAGCTGGCCTCTGGGGAGCAGAAGGGAAAGCTGGGATGGCGGAAACAGAGAATGTAGCCCAGGCCAGCCCCACTTGTAAACCAGGGACCTCCTGTGGTCCAGCTCAGAAGACAGAGTTCCCGGGAGAGGCCAGGCAGGCCCTGCTGCTGATCTGGCCGTTTTCTCCAGTGCAGAAAGGTGCCTGTATCAGAGCAAGGGCTGGTTCTGCCCATGGGAGGACAAGGGATTATTGAAGGGAAACTAAGAGAAGACAACAATGGCACTAAGGGAGTGACTGTTTCCTCCCCTTTCTTTCCTACAAAGGAGTGCAGAGGGCAACAGAGACCTTCTACACGCCCTCCCTTTCAACCTTCTGCCAGAAATTCATTTTCCACTTCATAGCACATGACAGGAACACGATGCCACTTGTGCTGTTACTCATCACATCACAGACACAGCTACTGCCAATTTACTATGCTGCTGTCCTCTGGGTCAGTGGGACAAGTGATCTCTAACCCACCAAGGGCTATCACAGCTCTTAGCACCCCTTCACCTGATCAGTCCTTTCCACAGCAACGCGGTCTCTGGACTCAGGCCCTGGGACAGCAAGGCCTTACCCTGGCACAGTGTAACAGTGGATTCAGGTCCTGGCATATGCTCTCAGATAGCTGAGGGACTGTATCTGCACATGACTTCTCTATGCCTCGGTTTTCCTATTTCACAGAGGATACAGGGCCAGTCTTTTAGGGCTGTTGTGAGGGTACAGGAGGTTACAGCATTTGTGCAGTGCCACAGAGTCAGCACTTCAAAAAGATTTACTGTGTACCTACTCTGTGACAGCGCTATCCCAGGGGCTGAAGGTATGGTGGTGAAATGGCCCAGTCCATCCCCAAAAGGCTGCCTGGTACCAGGGCAAAGAGGAGAGAGGCTCTGAGGTCACACGGCTCAGCAGCAAGTTGGCTGGTTCATTTCGAGCAGATTACTTAACCAGTTTTAATTTTCTCAATAATACCCATGTGATATTGTATATTAATAAAAGCAGATCAAATACTGCTGTGAAGACTAACACAAGGGAATCAAGAAAACTTTACACAACACTCAGCTGAGGCAAAGCTTAGCTAACAGTAAATGTGGTAAGCATTGTGGAGACAGAACATGGGTGGGACGGGGACTTGGCAGAGGTAACTAATCTAGTCTGGTACGGAAGAGGAGACTACAGTCACAGACAGCTTTTTAAAGACGATATTTAAGCATAATCCTCAGTGTAACTGCAAGGGTTACGAAACTGTTAAGACTACTGTGCAGTTTGAAGGATGAAGCCTGGTGTGCCAGACCTAGCTCGCTGTCACCTCCACCGTGGCTGGGAGTAGTGAGAACCCGCAGAGCCTGGCCTCAGCAGGGAGCCGGGGAAGCAGCAGTGCCAACCAGAACGGGCCACAGGCTCCACCTGCAGCTGCATGCTCTTCTCCCCCACCGCAGAGCTGGCTCCCACTGGCGGAGACAGAAGCCCTTGGGGGACGCAACAGATAAGAGTAAGCCACGCCACCTCCACCTCTGCCTGGTCACGGACAGTCAAGGGGACCCTTCATGATTCTCAACCCTATCTTCATCCAGCGAGTCCCTCACTGTGGCAATGGCACATGTATCCAATATACTGCTCCCAGGTTCATGTTTCTAAAACGTTAGGAGACAAGGTATAGTGTCTTTCCAAAATAAAATCACCTCAGGCACTCACACAGCTTTCCACAACGTTCCTGATGAATTCTGTTTGTGAGCAGTGAAGACAGGGGAGTGGCCCTTGGAATCAAACTTACACGCTTTCCAGGAGGTGCCTTTGTCTACCTATAAAAATGTCCTATGGATATCTAAACTACTGCGCTGAACCAGCTATGTCTTAATGAACACCCCATGCCAAGCAGAATGAGCCAGCTGCCCAGTGAAAACAGGCCTTTATATAAACAGGAAGACATCTGTGATTACTCTAGGGCTTTTTAAATTAAAATTCTCCATAGTAAATTCTGACTGCCAAACCTAAAGGCAGACCACTAAATAACCTAAAGGCAGACCACTAAATAACCTGGGCAGTCTCTTCAGGTTCCTCAAGGGAAGGAACCGTCCATTCCCCTCCCTAGAGACTTACCCAGGTCAATGAGAATTGCATGCTGCTGGGAGGTGAGCTGTTTTAAGAGTTCCTTGTAGGGCACATCCTTGGGCTGCTGTTTACTAGGAAATGGGTGCTTAAGGTGGAACTGCTCAGCCAGAAATTTCCAGATTTCACCCCGGTGATGACGTGGCACACCTTTAAGGAGGTGAAAAACACAAAGACAGACTTTATGCATAGAATTCAATTAATACAGTAACAAAAATTAGTTTCATTCCATAGATCCGAATTCTTATTCCACTATAAATTCACAGCATAGGTATGGAAAGAAACAACCCAAAACTTGTCACTGGGTCCCTTCCACCTTACCCCTTATTTTGTTCTCATTTTCCCTGCCCCATTCCTTCTACCTTTCAAAGATATATTCTGTTGTAAGACTCTTTAAGGGGTAAACCGAGGAATGTGACTGAGTCCCTACCTGGTACCAACTAATAACATTCTAGGGAAATAAGATCAAGCATGAAAAATGACAGAGCAAACTATGACCTTGCAGCAAGAAGAGACCTGAGGTGTGGGAGGTAGGGACCACCCTGAGCCGTCATGTACTTAGTCAAGCCTCAAGGATGAAGGAAAAGGAAGAAAAAACAAACTGGAAAGAGTGAATCTCAAGTGTTTTAGTTCACGGCAGGCATTTCTCAGCAATACCTTAGTGCAGTTAGTACTTGTTTTTTCCTCTTACATCAACTTAAACAAGCAAATAAAAAACGGAAACAAAAAAACCAAGTTGGCCTGTGGGGCAAACTCAAGACCCCAACTATGTAATCACAACCCACCTCTAAACATTTAAATGAGCATTCAACTGATGATCCTGTGTGGTGTGCTGAGTGGTGATTCCCCATAAGGATACACTTTTTCAGTCCCTAAACTCTGCAGCTGTACAGATACGACTAAGGAAGGATCCTGAGATAAGGCTGGCTGGGTTAAGACAGACCCATATCCAGTGATGAGAGACCCACAACAGACCCTCAGAGGAAGGAAGCAGTGTGACCACGGAGCAGAGATGCAGGCACAGGTGCAAGCCAAGGAAGGACAGCTAGCAGAGCAGAAGAGGCAAGTGCGACTCAGTCTGACTCTTTGACCCTGGGCTTTCAGAGCTGGGAGGGGGAGGCTTCTGTTTTTTAGCCACCGGTGTTATAACTTGTTAACAAACGATGGTAGCAAGAAATGAAATGGCCCTGATATCTAGTTTTTTAGTATTACTGTTTTCTTCCCCTGCTATACCTTCAGAGATATGTCTTAGCCTCACACTCATGCATGGCTCTGAATACTTTAAACCCTGACTAAACGCAAATGTGAACTGGAAAACAGTTGGCATGGCAACTCAGTAGTGGGCTTTCTGCATGAAAACGTTTTTGGCAACTAGAAAACTTTCTCCAAGTTATAAGATGTCCGGTTTCCTCTTTTACTAAATCCTTCCCACTATCTTGAGCACTTGTGGTTTTTTTTCCTACTTTTTGTAGTGGGAACTGAATTCGGGGCTTTGTACTTATACCACTGAGCTATATCCCTGGCCCTCATTTGCACTATCTTATCAGAACTTTATTTTCTGGCGAGCAAGAATGCTGGCTGTGTCACTGGTAAGCACTAGATATTTTGGGATTCAGGAGTAAGCCTCGAGTCTGTGATTTAAAGTAAAGGTTCCTGAGAGTCAGACCCAGGTTTCTTGCTAGGAATACCCTGCAACACCCTCCCAAGCCTCTAATTTGCTCTTCTAGCCTGAGAGAGACCCCTAGTGGTGGAGTGTACATGGCCCCTCAGGTGGGGTTCTGGAGAGCAGGGGACAAATGACCACTCCAGCCCCTGTGTGAAAATTTTTTATTTTTACTGACTTGAAAAAGTGTGTATTTACTACTTAAAAACAAAACAAGAGCAAAAACAATGCCAGAATTCTCTAAAAACTTCAAATCTTATAAAGAAGAAAGTGAAAATCTACCTATACCTAGACAAAATTCATAACCTAAAACAAAAAGCTTTGGAAAGGGAAGAGGAGAAAGGGTACTGATTATTTTATCAGGGCAAAAGTTGAAAATGAGGGTCATATCAGGTGGGCTAGGAGGTATGACATCCCACTTATAATCCAGAAAGCTGAAAATACCAAGCATTTCCTGGGTGTTTTCTGTTTTTCTATCTGTAGTCATTAATTTCATGTTCATTAATTTTTAGAGTAAGCGTTTAGAAATCTCATGGCTGGGTCAGAAAAGCAGAGTCTGCATCTGGCCCACACTGCTGTCTGCTCAGGGCCACCCTGCAATCCCATTCCTAGAAAACACTTCAGGCTTATCAGGCTCTAGACCTGGATGTCTTTAGAGAAGTTACTAACTCAAACTCCACTCTGAACTACTGAATTGGAATTATTCTTCCTCCTCCCTACTTGACTCCTTAACACTGCCACTCCCATCTATTATTCACTTGCAAAATCCCTTTGTTTGTGTCACCTGGAGGCTGTAGATCCTCAAGGGGGCAAGGCCTCATCAGTCAAACAGGACTGTTCTCTCTTTCAAGGTTTCCGAGGTGACACAGCTGTTCAGCTTTCTGAGCCACAAAATGGAAGTAGTTGTCTGTTTGGAGTCTTTCAGCCCCTTGAAGTGCTGAAGGCAGATGACACAGAGTGCCTCCGACTGCTCAGTCTGAGCTCCAGCAGTAAAGCCAGGGGACAAAGTCAGGGAATCCAGGAGGAATTCCAGGTCAGCCTCCCTCACCCCAGTACGTGAGCTGGCAATCACCCACATCTGACTTCAACACACAATGCCCAGATTCCTGAGGTGTTTCCATTTGTCACCCTCATAAAATGCACAACAAGAAACCAATGTTCAGGTGTCGGGCCTCTCTGAGAAGCTCAAGCATTTGCAACAGCTGCCACAGAACACACAAGGCCTTCTGTGGAAGCAAAGCCACTACAGACCATCACCTATTCCACCTGGACTGGGAAAGAGCAGACACACTCCTTTCCCTGCTTTCTCCTTTTACACAACAGCCAACTGGGGCCACCTGGTGTGAGGGTAAGTTTCCGGCAGCCACTGTGGGGGTAAAGAATGTGAGAACTGCCACACAGCATCTCCCCTCCTTGGACCAAGCCTCCCAGACCAGCAGCAAAGAAGCAGGAACCCAAGTTCCGACTGGAAGCTTCTGGTGACTTAGAAGTCCAACCTTCACCGCTGCACACTGAGGACACCGCACAGTGGTGTGATTCCACCAGAGGCAGTGCAGTGTGATGCTCAAGACTCCTGGCTGCCTGCAGCAAGCCCAGCCCTGCGGCTGGAGCCCATTATCAACTCTGCTAAGCCCACGTGTCCTTATTCATGTCACAGGCAAAGTCACAACGTGCAATAACCAGCCATTACCACTAAAATGGATGCTGTCAGAACTCAAGGTAAAAGGCTTTAAAATGCCTAGAAGATTACGGGAAGAACCTGCTTTGCTCCATTAGCTCTCTTAGAGATAAATAACACTTGTACGTGTCTAATGTTCTTCCTCTGTACAGTGATAAAGTCACGAGGAAGCCATCTATCTATACATGTGCAACCTTTATTTCAAATAGCTGGTTATTCAAGATTAGATCAACCAGAACTCAGCTCTAAAAGCAGATTAATCTCAGAAGATTTTTACTCCTACCAGCAGATGCTAATATACATTTAAAAACATTCACTGTTTTTATTTGTACACCGTGCTTTTCAAACTTACTGGTGAAGGATCAATCTTTTATTTAAAAAAAAAAAAAAAACTAAGGGGCTGGGGATTTAGCTCAGCGGCATAAGTGCCTGCCTTGCAAGCAGGCAGTCGTGAGTTCGATCCCTGGTACCGGTAAAAAGGAAAAAGACAAAAAAAAAAAAAAACAAAAAAAAAAAACTTTCTAACCCATTTGCAGATTGATGCTTTTATAATATACGGTAAAAATGAATTAGGAGAAAATGAAACGAGACAGAATGATGAAATGTAAATCCACATTTTTTATGAGGATCACTGCGTCCAATTGCTGGAAGCCTTTCCAAATGCTGTCTGAGTTCTGTCTTTGCCCCTCCCTGGATCAGTACCAGCTGACGCTGGCAGAGCACACCAGGGGGCCGGCAGCATTGCTCACAGGGAGAGTCTGTGCCTAACATCATGCGGCAAAGTGAGCAGCAGCAGGGCTGGGCTCTGAGCCCAGAACTACCTGTGTAAACTCTGACTCCTGCAGAGTCAGAGTCCACAGAGGGAAGCCACACAATCAGTTTTTAGTTTACCGTTTAGCTCAGACTAAATCATCCCATCATTATTCAATTTGTAGGCAATTAAGCCCTTGGGTTTTCCTCTCTTGTTTTCCTATGTCTTGGTTTTCCGAACATTTAATTCAATTAGGAAGATTATGAAAGGTAGTGAAATTCACATCAATTAACTGTATCTGGCAATGGAATAGTAAAAGGTGTGAAGAAACCAAGAAGGGGGCCACTTCGGAAAAGCAGCCTTGAAATGTCTCCCCCTTTCTATCACTGGTGAGGGTGCAGCTGGCTGGGGGGACCCCTGATAATGCTTACCTTGCCCGACAGCTGAGTGCATTTTTTCCATATCGAACTTAGTTTTTGACCTTCCCGGAAAGCTAAGCATCTTTTCCCACACTGTAGTCACTTCTTTAAGACAAGGAGTGATTTCTTCATAATCAAGCTTTAGGCGCTTGTTCAGCAAATCATTCTCAGAGGCTGGAAGAGACACATAAGGGCACATTACTGGACACCATAGCTACAGGTCACCCACCCGACATAATGCCTGCTCATCACTACTGAGACGCAGCAGATCCAGTCTGCTGCACAGGTCAAATAAAAGTCACCATTTCCTTTCACAGAAATGCTAAAAACCTAGGAAGAATCTTTGATTTCATCCCCGATGTTGCCTCTGCTGTTAAAATATATGGCACATCTGTCAAAATCTTTCCATCTTTATAGCTACCCTATCAAATTGTAAACATCTAAGAGGCAAAAGCTCGGTGTTATAATTTCCAATGCTTGGTATGGTCAGCACTCAGCAAGTATTTTTCATCTGAACTAGGAGGGGCACTCTGAAACATAGTTCCTCTTTATTTAGAGCCAGCGATCCTTTTGGTAGTGTCTCCTGTGGGTCGAGTTTTTGCTTCCTGGAGCTACATAGAATAAATCCACCCCTTTCATTCTTCAACAGCTCCTCATAGAGATGAAGGCAGCTATTGCGCCCCCACCAAACTCACTCACCCTCAAGACGCAGTGAGAAGAATTAGATCTACATTTTCAAATGGAGGAGAAATCAATAAAGGAAAATTTTAAAACTGACGTTCTAAATTGATTCTCCAGTCCAATCGCACCTCAGGGACACACAAGGACACAAAGTTTAGAGAGATTAACACACTCACAATGAGGCTGTAATTCGTGTCTTGCTGCTGGAGGCTCTGAACCACTGGGGGGATACCTGCATGACTGTCCCATGGGGTGACATGAACAGTCCCACTGGGTGATACAAGCCACCCAATGGACAGGTACGCATTTCCATAGGTGGATCAAGTCGACAGGAACATGTTAAGTGATTTGCTCAGCGTTGTTTAACAGCCACTGAGCAGCCAGGCGATTCTAGGCTTCACAATGCCTTCCAGATTTCTTCTAACATCTTTATTCCTTTCCCTCTCCCTTTGAAGAGTATTTGTTCCAGGTCCTGCTAATCATTTCTCTACATCTCTGGCATTAACATTTTAAAAATGTTAAACCTCTTGGTTGTTCTGGTTATGAAAAGATACAATAAACATCAGGAGAGCTAAGCTAATGCTTATAGCAATTCAGGCTGGGATGAGCTATGCTACAGCCAGCACAATTTTTCTGGCAGTGACTCCTGCTAGAAACACATCTGGCCCTTTTCTTACAGCCAGCAAACAACTCGAGGTACTCACTCTGGAGTCTGCAGAACTGCACATGGCCAGAACACTCAGCTGCAAACCCGTGTATTTTGCTGTTGTCCCAAACAACATCCTGTCACAGGACTCTGACAACACTGCTGCCTAAAATCAGTGGCTTCTGAAATACCTTATCAGCCACAGCAGATGGCACAAACCTGCAGCAATCAGCAGGACTTCTGAGGAGAGACCTGAGACTCAGGACCTACCTGTATTAAACAAGGGCCCACACAACTATGCTGTTCTCGGAGAGTGTGGAACATGTATCTACGTGCCAACTTGGACTCTGCTTGACGCTCAGCTCTGACACACTCACTGTGCCGGGCAGGCTGTCACTGCACTGTCCCCAGTCTTGCCTGTTCTTCGAGGCAGCAACTGCTTTCACTGACAGACTCTTCTGGGCCGAATGCCACCATCCCTCCAAAGTTTAGCAACAGAAAGCTAAGAGGTTCAACAATTAAATGACCCTCACACATGTACAGATCTTAGGCAAATTACATGCAGCATTTCATTTTTTTAAAGCCACAAACAGGGATTATTTAACTAAGGAAAAAGCTTTTGTAAATTAAAATGTCATCAATTTAGTTCAAAATTTAATGCTGTTGCATTGTTATGGAAACATAACATGGATAACATTTTAATCCTAATCATAAGATGCTGAGTTTCATGAATTATTCTGACAGTAGTACACTGACTTTAAACCATAGCAGTATTAAATCACACCTTGCTGTCCTGTATAAGGCTGCGCACATTTTTGTTTAAAAACAGGAAGAACGTGACCTTGCAGAGAGAAACAGCGGGCAATTGCTGCTTGGGAGAGAAGTGATGCATTTTATTCTCAACATCACACCAAATTAGCTGTGTAACCTTGAAAAATCACGACTTCAGCTGCCAAGTGTCTACAATGGAGTAAGGTAGTTTTAAATGATGTAGTTTGGTTCTTCCAAGGATGCAGCACCTCCAGAAAGTGATAAATATTTCATCTACATATTTGAAAGTAAGGAAATAAGAACCAGAGGAAGAACTTTTTCATGCATGTTCCTTTTTTCCCCAAAGACTATGCAACCCACACTGAACACTTAACTAATTGCAAAAGCCACTTGCAGCTGCAATGTAACTTTCTTTAAGAACCAAATGAGGAAAATAACAGCATCACAGAATGTCTACCTCTCTAGTACCTGGTACTGTGAATGGTTCTTGCCAAAACTTGTTTCAGTGTTTCATGAGTAAGCTGTACCCTACCTATAACCCCCCACTTACAAAGTTTATTAATACCCTAAGTACAGAAATTGTTACTACTGATTACTCTTCTCGGCAATATAGGTACTTCACACACTCACACACAATGGACTGCTTCTTATATTTGGCAATTTGATCGTGCTTTGACCACAGAGATAAACATATATTAAATTTGTATAAGAACTAAGAGGAGAAATGAATTCAGACAGTAGGAACAAAAGGCCACCAAGACTGAACACTGCAAGTAAGTCTGGGGATGCTGGCAAGGGTCAGTGAACTTTACGCACCATCCAGCAAGCCCAGGGACTCTCACCTGCCTAGACTGCGGGGCAGCTTTTGTGGCATGCTGATCTCATCACATCTATTAGCACCCTAATTTCTAACATTCCCAAGATGCCAGCCAGGGTCATTGACTGTCATTTAAGAAGGCTCGTGACCCACAGGATGAACGTGGCTGCCGTTCTGCTTTTCACCAGAAACCTCAACATACACACAAATGTAAATTCTATTTTCCAAAGCTGTCATTTAGTGGATGACACAGTTATGATTATCAAATATAATCACCTTCAAGAACATACAAGAAAATGGTAGAAAACTAAAGCTGGAAGAAAACTTGCATTCACCTGCTCTAACTCCCCCTCACAGTGCCTTTGGCTTCCACTGACCCCTGATGGGATGAGCTACCTACCGCTCAGCTTCCGCACTGCATCATGGACAGCACGGTTCATTTGAAAGTAACCTATTCTGCTGCTAGACTACTTTCTTATCAAAAGTCTTCACTTTTTTTATTCACAAATAACACACTTGACTAGATCCCTTTATGTTTCATGAATCTGTATCATTCTTGTCTGCAGAAGCTATGTTGCAGGTACAGTGCTGTGACTCATGAATGTGGACCTGCACAGAGAATATTCATTTGCTCACTACCTATCAAGACATCAGGTAGGGCCAGGCATGGATGTCTTAATCCCAGCACTTGGGAGGCTGAGGCAGGAGGACTGTTTCGAGTTTTCAAGGCTGACTTGAGCTACACAATAAGTTCAAGGCCAGTCTGAATTATAGAGCGAGACCCTATCTCAAAAAACCAAAACCAAACAAAACATAAAAAACAACCACTACCACTGAACACAACAGTAACAACATCAAAAAAGAGTTAAGAACAGCAGGGTTCAGGACAATTGGACTTCACAGCATGCCAGGCCTTTAGTCATCAGATTTGGCCTCTTTTATCTAGTGGTTTTATTTCTACACAAACATCAAAATCAATACCAAAAGACAAAAACCTGGCAATCAAAAGCAATGCTCAATGAAACACATTCTAATTCTAGAATTTCTCTGGGCAACAGCAATATGACTAACCCCACTGCAGCTTTCCTTTACAATAGTATGCTCTGCCCTCTGAATCGTGACTGCTTCATACCAGGCAGCTCCATTCTCTAGGGCCCATGATTTTCCACAGCCCCATACATTTCGCTTCTTAAACTACTCTGAAATCATCTGATTGGTTAAAGTGCTGGCATGGAAATAGGAGATGAACACAATCTATACTTTCCAAGTTTGTGTCATATTCTGATGTTTAAATCAATCAGTGCGAGTCGAGTTCAGCCAATGCTTTTTCAGGTTACCTACAACTCACTAAAAAGCCACAGAATGAGATTACAAACTTTAAAGACTCATACAGAGTCATTTAACGCCTAATATCCGGCAATACTGTGGCTAAGGACATAATAGTAAAAAAGAAAACAAAATATAAGGAAAAAAACCCCAACTTTTTGGAAAGCTGGAGCTTAGAACATTGCAGCCTGTATCTCAGAAGTTCTAGACATTGTGCTAATGACTATAGAGGAATTAATATAACTGATGAAGTTATACTTCAATCTCCACAGAGTAACGGTTGACATTACTTTGAAAACATAAACAGGTAAGGCTGAAGATACGGGAAGTTATCCTGATTTTATTTCTTAGGAATGCATGCTTGTATTTCATATGGTTCACGAGCCGAGATCAGGTACAATCCATCCTGCTCTGTTTCAAACCCACCTTGTAGCTTCTGGTTTTCCTTCTCCATCCTCAGCAGCAGAATCTGCTGCAGAATGGCCTTTCTCCACAGCTCCCGCAGCTCCCGTGGCGTCCTCTTCTTTTCCTCCGGAACAGGACCGAAGGGCCCATCTTCACACACTGGCTCCAAAGGAGATCTCGGGGGAAGTTCGCCTAACTCTGAATAATCTGGAAAAGGAAAAGACAGTTGCACAGAGGTTATTTTTCAAGAATTTTTTTTACATATTCAAAAAGTGCTAAATCAGCAAATTGTCATTTAGAGAAAAACTAGTAATATCACCACATTAAAAATTTATGTTTCAATATGTACTGGAATAACCTAGGTCTGAGCCACAAACACGAAACAATGACACATTATTGTAAGCAGAAGTTGCAGGACCTAGGAAATAATTAAAGATGTTTGTTTTTAAAAGTGTAATAGTTTTATCTTTTTGCATAAAAGTTACTAATAACTGTATTACTGATAATAAGAACAATCATACAGAGCTTCCTACGTAGCAATCTGGTTACCATAATGTTCTAAGGGTTACATGTAGAATTATTTATTTAACTCTCACAACCACCCTAGTTATAGTACCTAGTTAGAGGTACTGTAACTATTTAGTTTTAAAGAAAAGCAAACACAGCTGAAAGAAGCACTGCCACATCAAAGCAGAGCACCTTCTGTGTGCATCTTACAGGACCAAATAATCTAAAAGATTAAAATATATTTAATGGTAACACGTAATAGGGACCACTGACAGACTCTCTAACGTTAAAGTGCTGGGCTCTTCTGGTGATACTATGGATTGAATCCAGGACTTCCCCAACCATGGCCTCCTCCCCGCTTTGTTTTGGAGAAGTGTCTTTTTTTTTTTTTTTTAATTTTTTTTTTTTGTCTTTTTCGTTTTTATCGGTACCAGGGATCAAACTCACGACTGCACACTTGCAAGGCAGTTGCTTATGCCGCTGAGCTAAATCCCCAGCCCTCTTCCAGAAGTGTCTTGCTAAGTGCCCAGTCTCCCAGAGACTCCTGCCTCAGCTTCCCAAGGACTTGGGATTGCACGATTGTACCCCTATGCCCGGCTGTGTCAGTCATTTTACACAAACAGACTTAACCCCAGTGACAATCTCCAAAGGGAGACACTAATCTGACAAGGAAAATACGGTTTGAGAAGGTCCAGGGATTTCTGCAAGGTTGAACAGTGATTAAACAGATACACTGGAATTCTAACCTGCATAGCTCAGAAGCCCATCTGTTCCTACAAGATACCACAACAAAATGTTTTCTATGTCATCAATTTTTAAATTTCTGAGTATTAGTTTCAATCTCTTTGAGTATGTAGAATCTGAACCTCTCCTCCCTGCAGAAACCCATGTTTTGAGATGCACTGCCGTCAAACTCACAATCACCTTCCAAACGTGTACAGACAAAGTCCTGCCTGCTCACTGAATCCCTAGCTATGAAAAGCAAGCAGACCTTCCTATAACTTGACCTCATAGGGAATAACACGTTCTTGGGACTTCTGTGTAACTGAATCTTTGAAAATAAAACACATGCAGTAAAAAAATCCTGAGTCTTACAACCACCCAAAATACAACCTATGATGTCTTCCAGCTGATAGGTCCAACCAATTTCATGATGCAATCTAATTTTCAGAATGGTCATCGGTATTAACTGCACATTATTTTTCCTGAAGTTATATTGGTTTTCCTACTGTGAAATCTAAGTGAACAAATGAAAGGACAAAAAGTTTAACTTCTTAAAATGACTTATTGGATTAAAAATACAATAAGCATTAAGAATGTTTTTTGAGCTCTTTAAGCATTTAAATGCAAAGCTCTAAATTACAGAGCTCCATAGGTTATATCATTACCATTCTGCTACACAAATGAATAAAATTCTACTTCCTTTGAGGATAAGAAGTAACTAGACAGTTAATACACTTTACTGGAGGAAGAATGCTCATTCAGTTTTCAACAAAAATATAGGAATCAAAACAGTCTACATAGAATTGCTTAAGTCCAAATATGGCACAAAGGTCCACATGGAAAGGAGTGGTTCCCACAATAGCATCTGTAAGAGGTCTTTGCATGGCTGTAGACTGCCTTCAAGAGAGACAGTGAAACCTTGGTTCCTCCTCCTCCTCTCTGGCTCTGGCATTCCCTCCAACCTATGCTTCTGCCACTGCTATTTGGTACTTTTACCAGTGGCTTGAAGCTCTGGGAGTACAACGTTGGCCATGTATTTCCACAACTATGAGCTAAATATACCACTTATCTTTATTAAATTAGTCACCTCAGCAATTTCATCACAGTAACACAGAGGCGACTAATAAAAAATTATCATCTCAGTTTTATAAATATTATTAAAGGCAGCAGTTTAGTGATTAATAGGGCACGTTCTGGAGCTAGACCACCTGGGTGTCAATCAAGATTCTGCTATCATTGACTTTGGGATCTTCTGCAAGTTACTTCATCTCTCTAAGCCTCAACTTCCCAATGTGTTGAGTGGGAAACATATTTAATTCCTCACAGTGGCATCAGATTCACTAAGTTAATACACAGACTATAAAACATACAGAACACAGTATAACACACAGTGTAACACAACATAGGTGAGCTCTCACATCAACACATTCCCACCAAGCTTGGACCACCAGTGGTTCCTGCATGACTGTCTCATCAGGCAGCTTGTACCACCAGTAGTAGAAGTGTCATGCACAGACAGCCATGTGTGTACCATCAGTGGTTCATACCACTTGGCAGTGAGAAATACAAATTACAGTTCCATCATGAACATGTTAAGGATGCAAGAAAACTACTGGAAAGAAAGAAATCAAAGTTGCACCCCACTCAATATAAGGCTTAAGAAAGCTAGAACCCTGTTGTCATGTCCAGATGTGCTTAGCACTGCGCACAGCTGCTAGTACGCAGCTGGTGCTTAATTCATTGCAGAGTAGAAGAGGTAAGTGGAGGCTAGCTTTGGATATCTTGTTATTCATTTATTTCCTATATTTTCCAACCTATAATATTTTTATAATCAAAGAAAAATAATGTAAATCTATTGATTAAAATCAAAGACAAAAAGCTTTCTGTAAAACACACAGAAAATGAATCAATCCCTCCCCTAAAAATGAATATGACATTTGTGCTTACATTGTTTGATCAAGGTTTTATACCTGTATCTAGTAATAAGAGCAACTACTTTGAAGATAACAATATACAATATAGTTAACAATTATCAGCCTCCTACTATCTGGTTTTGAAATTCTGTATCATTGGTTTTATTCTTTAAAAAAACCCCTCCTAAAAATTAACAAAAAATAAAAAAAGAATATTATTATCTTATCTCGCAGGTTCAGACTCTGAGTCCTTTCTTTTCTTCCTGCTTTTTCTCTTACCTCTGCTGCACTGGGCAGTTACAATTAAAGTTCTGTTCTATCTCATACTGGAAGTATTTACACTCTTGCTGGCATACAAAGAATTCTCATTTCTAAAAAGTAACTTCTGAGAAGTCCTGGGCAGGCAGAAGAGCGGAGACAGGAACGTTTTTTGCATGTAGGTGCAGAGCACCCAGGGCCCCACCAGTCAGTGGGGCGCAACTCTCTGAGGAACAGGCCCAGCTGACCTGGAGTTCTTTCCCTCTCTTATGTCCTACTGACACAACAAGGATTTGCCATGCCTGGTCCTCTTCTTCTAATCCCATCCTTCCTGTTTACCGTGGCCTTTGTCCTCCTGAATATCTGAAAAACGTTACTTTCAAGGGAGGGATAAAAATACGCTCCTTTCACTCAAATTTATTTAATGTGGTAAAAATTACTGAGCCAATTTTTAAAAAAATATTATCTTTTGCTCAGGTTAAGAATAGCCTAGTTACAAACTAGCTTAGTGATTTATAAATGGGGTAGTTAAAATTTTTGTTCTCAATTTTGCCTGGCTAAAATTGTGCGAGTGAGCTTATCAGTGCAAGAAGATCTGAGGTTGAGTAGTATCTTCACTGTCTGTCCTCTGTGGCACACGTGTCTGTCTGGTGCCATCCTGTGAGATGAGGACTCCCAAACACGGTGGCTGAGGCATGGCAGGAGGGAAATAAAATGAGCAATTTTGTTCTCCAGAACAACAGTGGGGGGTCTGGCTTCTCTCCCTGCCTTGTATTCTTGCTGACAGTGCTACCTAGAAGCCAACGTGGAAAAGTACAGCTCAGTGAAGTAGAAGCTGAGCTCCGGGCTGCTCTGTCCCAGGACCTGATTTTTGGTGCTTCTTTGTAAACATATAGGCCTTTTTGGGTTCCAGTCCCTTGGTGCAAAATGTAAGAAATGAAATCGTCCTCTTACAACTGTGGAAGGCAGGCACAGACATGGAGTTTTACATATTTACAGCCTGCAAAGTCACAAAGCCAAAGAGCCACAACACACTAGCATTAAACTTTATTCTTCTGACATCTCTAACGACAGGATACAAAATTCACGAATTACGTAGATTTCAGAAATAATAAGTTCTCAGAATCCTAAAACTAGTCATAACTCAGGGACCCCAGGAGACAACTGCCTCCACTTAAATCACTGCTGCAACACTCCCAATAGAATTGTAAACGTGAATTATGCTCGTGTTGATGTTTCAGATGCCAAATTATCCTCCAACAACTCTAAGCTGCTGCATCCTCCTTTCCTGCTGCACATAAATGTGCAGGGAAGAGAATAACAATGCACGGCTGCCACAAGCAGAGTAAGGGAAAAGAGAAAACGGCACACGAGCTTCTGCTCTCTAAGTGCAAGACACAGGGATTCTTTCTTGGACTTTCACAAAACAGAGACGTTCAGTTTTAGCTGCAGTTCTCTCTTGGCAGACATGACACGGTACCCACGTTAAGTGCCTTGTACGAAAGAACTCCAGGAGGACAGTAAGACTGATCTACAGTCTCCAGTTTTCTGACTTTCTGCAGTGTGCTAGCCCACAACTGAGCATTTTATAACCCTCTCCACGTCGCCAGAAAATCCTGAACTCCCATGCCAAAAGAAAAAGAAAGTTCTGAGGCCTCGGTTTTGGCAACATGAGCAGATTTTAGAAATGGGAATTAAAACTGAACATGAAGTCTCTGGGGAAGAGTTAACAACAGGGATTAACATCTGCAGCATCTGCTGTCACCAACAGCTGAAGAACACTTCTTTAAAAAACAAAGTAAAATA